ATCGATTTTACATCCTTGTAAAAGTACCAGCTGCGTTCTGAGAGAACACCAAGCTGTCTGAGGGAGGGAGGTCACTCAAACCTTCCAATTCCACCATGAATTATTTGTAGTCACCCTACATGGACTGGAACAGCAAAGCTGGGGTAGCTCAAGGCTAGCTGCAGCAGCTGTATGGAAATCCACAGCTCTGGTTTATACACATCCTGTGGAATACTAAAAACCAGGAATCCTCTGCCTTGGGTTTGAAGACACTGAGCAGGGCCAAAGTTCCCAAAAATCCAGATGTGGTGTGGTACAGGACAGCTGTGAGGCAGGATGGGGGTGTGAGTGCTCCCCATGCTCAGCTGCATCACCAGAAAACTTTTGGTCCTAACAGCTCATGGGCTGGCAGCTCTTCAATTCATAGAAATGTACAAAATTGATAAAATATCCTGAGCTGGAAGGGATCCATGAGCACTGAGTCCAGCACTGACACCCCAACAACCCCACCCTGTGCACCCCTAGGAGCAGTATCCAAATGCTCCTGGAGCTCTGGGGGCTGGGACCATTCCCTGGGCACCCTCAGGGGGGAAGAACCTTCCCTGATTGTCGTAGGAAGGGGACTAGGACACCAGGTGGTTCATCACAGGTCTAACAGGTCTAGTTTACTGAAGAAAGCATCAAACACTTATACAGCAAATAATAAGCTTATGAATATTCTGTAAGCTAAGCAATCTATTGGTTAAACTATACCATGAACTCTTCTTCATTCTTTAGGGGTTACATCTCTCTTTTCTCATGTCTCTTTCACTATTTGTTATCTTACTACAACTAAGCCTAAAGACACACTATCTTTACAAGTGCAAGACTTAAAATTAGCCACAACTTTGTAATTTTCTAGTCTCTAGCAGCTAAATTCCCAACACCTGATCTCCAACCTGAACTCCCCAGGCACAGCCCCAGCCTCAGGTTCTGCCCCTGCTCCCACAGAGCAGAGGTTGCTGCAGACCCCGCTGAGTGTCCCCTCATGTTTGTAGGTCACACCCCAAAGCCCACACACCTCCATAAAGCTCAAATTTACAGTCTGGAGGACACCACATCCATCCCTGCTGGAATGCAAAGCCCCTCCAGCACAAAGCACCAGCCTGGCTTTGGGGCAGGTCAGTCTGTCCATCACAAAAATGAGATCCTGACAGGTGCAACAGCCCTGAAGCAGAAGAATTCCCCACAGGGATCACCTCAGGAGCACAAAGGGGGACAATGAATCCTCAGAAGCTGCAGCTGGATAAGAAGTTTTAACCAAGTGTTCTGCCTCGCTACTTCCTGTGGGAATTTTCATGGCCAATTTCTTGTTTTCATTGCCAATGTCTCGTTTTCATCGCCAATTTCTCATTTTCATCGCCAATTTCTCGTTTGTTGCCATAAACATCCTTGCTGCTGGAGCAAATCAACTCAGGATTAGTAAAAAAAGCATGTACAGGTATTTTATAAACCAACAAAAGCACAAACTCTTTGCCTACATAATCAGTCTGGGGTTTAATTAATAGCTCTGATCAACACCTCAGCACAGCCCCCATTAGCTGCAGGACAAAAGGATCAAGGTCAGCACTTTCTCCACCCAAAGCAGCCCCAAGAATTAATTAATTATAACAAATAACACTCACAAGGCCCCTCCCCACCCATGCCAACACACCTGCAAGGCTCAGAGCTCCCTTAGGTATTTTCTCTGAAAATCTCTGCCCAGAAAAGCAGCTGAATTCAAACTTCCCATCCACACCTGCCTCTCCCAACAGCTTTAAACCAGAGCTTCCTTCTGAGGGCTGGAGCAGCTGAGCTTGTTCTGTGCTCTCATCTTCCCTCTGAGCACTTTTGGGGCAGGAGAATAAAGAAAATTTCCCTCTCTGATTAACCCCCAATCTGATTACAGCCCCAAAGGATCCCAGCCTGTGACTGGGAACAAAGTCTGTGCCAGCCCAGATGCTCAGAAGGGAGCTGATATTCCATGGAATAACCTGGAGCCTGGCACTCACCTGCAGCTCAGGAAATCAGACCTGATCAGGTCTCTCACAAGGCACCAGACAAGGCCCAGGAGCAAATAAAAATACATTCAGAGCAAAACCCACTCATTTAAACTGGCCTCGTGCAATGTGTGCTGGAATTGGACCATCTCTAAGGTCCATTCCAACCCAAACCATTCCAATGTGATATTCCAGTCACTCACCCTGCCTCCTGTACTTTTAGGATTTACAAATTAAGAACATGCAGTAAATAAGCAGCTTACAAAGCAGTGCAAGCAGCATGGGACAAGTGGTTTGTGTTTCCAGTTTCAAAGAGGGTGAGCAGTCCTGATGGGCAAACACTGTGCCAAAACTTGCGCTGCAAGAACCAGTCAAGGATATTTTATAATTTGGTTTTTGCTGCTTTGAGTTCTACCATGCCCAAGCCTGCAGCCTGATCATTTCAATGTCACCAGGGTACAGCTCTCAAGCATAATAATACTGATTGCAGCTGGATGATGTCTAAGGTCCCTTCCAAGCCTTGCTATGATTCTAAAAGCACGTCAGAAGAACCAGTGTCAGGTTTTTGGTTTGGGAACGCTTAAAACCTGGATTTTTCTGTCTGGAACAGAGGCAGAGGACAGCAGAGGGGAGCTTGGGAGGGCAGCCCTGCCCTGAGGGGGACACGGAGGGCGAGGGGAGGCTCCTGGTGCCACCTTTGTCCCATCACCTTCCCCGTCCTCACCGCAAGCCCCTCGGGGTGGCCCTGATGAGTCACCAGAACAAAAACCCCAGTGAGGTCACAGAATCACAGAACAGACCCTCAAGGATCATCGAGTCCAGTTCCTGGCCCTGCACAGAACTCTTCAACAATCCCACCCCGTCCCTGGGAGTGCTCCTGGAGTTCTGGCAGCCTCGGGGCCAGAACCATTCTCTGGGGAGCCTGAGCAGTGCCCCAGCACCCTCTGGGGGGAAAAACCTTTCCCTGAGAGCCACCCTAAACCTCCCCGGCCACAGCTCCAGTCGCTCCCTCGGCTTCTGTCACTGGTGGCAGAGAGCAGAGCTCGGAGCTGCCCCTCTGCTTCCCCTCACGAGGAAGTTTTAAACTGCGATGAGATCTCCCCTCAGACTCCTCCACGCTGAACACACCAAGAAACCTCAGCCGCTCCTAAGGCTTCCCCTCAAGGCGTTTCACCACGTTCGCTGCCCTCCTCTGCACGCTACCATCTCAGTATCCTCCTTATACTGTGGCGCCTAAACTGCGCGCAGGACTCAAGGTGAGGCCGCACCAGCAGAGTGGGACGATGCCCTCCTTTCACCAGCGTGTTGTCCCCCCCAGCCCCGTGTCCCCGTGTCCGGTGTGACAGGAGAGGAGGGCCCGAAGGAAGGGGCCGGGGTGGGACGCGGGCGGGCCCGGGGGGCTCCGGTGCGGGCGGGCGCGGGAAGCGCCGCGGGCGGGTGACCTTGGGCGCGCGCACCTGCCGCAGCCCCGCGCGCGCGCCGGTCACGTGACGGGCTGGGGGGGGCGGGGGGGTGTGTGCGCCCTCACGGCCCCAACATGGCGGGACCGGCCCCCCCCCAGCACCCCCGGCCCGGGACCGGCTCTCAGTGTCCACCCAGCCTGCCACCGGCGCCCGCTCAGCCCCCCGGCCCGCGGGAGCGCCGGCGGGACGCTCTGCTGAGGTTGCGGGAAAAGGTGACCGAACCTCGCACCATCGTCCCAGCGCGCTGCCCTCCCCTTCCTCTCACCCGATCTCATCGGCGCCTCCCACGCTGTTCATGGCGGCGACTCCTCCGGGGCCGCGCCCGGCTCTTCCCTCCGGTGGCGGCGGTGCCAGCGGCGGGTCGTGGGGCCGCGGGCGGGCGCTCCCGGCCGTGTCCCGGTTCCCGTGTCCCGGTTCCCCCCCCGCCGCCCCCGGCCCGGCCCGGCCCCCCCCACCGCGCGCTCGCGCTCCCTCAGCGCCGCCGCTGCGCGCGCACCCGCCCCTCGCTACGGGGTCTCCGGGGCCGCGCCCTGGGAGGGGCAGAGAGGGGCGTGGCCGCGCGCGCGCGGGGGCCGGCGGGAAGGGCAGTCCGCGCGCGCGGCGGGGCGGGGCCTGCGCGGGGTCCCATTGATCCATCCCGGGATCCCATTGGCTATTCCAGGGTCCCATTGCCCATCCCAGGGTCCCATTGATCCATCCCGGGATCCCATTGGCTATTCCAGGGTCCCACTGATCCATCCCGGGATCCCATTGGCTATTCGAGGGTCCCATTGACCTTCCCCAGGGTCCCCATTGCCCATCCCGGAATTCCATTGCCCATCCCTGGGGTCCCATTGACCATCCCTAGGGGTCCTGTTGCCCATCCTAGGGGTCCCATTGCCTATTTCAGGGTCTCATTGCCCATCCCGAGGGTTGCATTGCCCATCCTGGGATCTCATTACCCATCCAAGGGGTCCCATTACCCATCCAAGGGGTCCCATTGCCCATCCCTGGGGTCCCACTGCCCATCCCGGGTGTCCCATTGCCTATTCCAGGGTCCCATTGCCTGTCCCCAGGGTCCCCATTGCCCATCTCAGGATCCCCATTGCCCATCCTGGGGGTCGCATTGCCCATCCCCAGGGATCTCATTGCCCATTCTGGGATCCCATTGCCCATCCCCAGGGGTCCCATTCCCCATTCTGGGATCCCATTGCCCATCCCAGGGTCCCACTGCCCATCCTGGGGGTGCCATTGCCCATCCCAGGGTCGCATTGCCCATCCCCAGGGGTCTCATTCCCCATTCTGGGATCCCATTGCCCATCCCTGGGGGTCCCATTGCCCATGAGCAGGGACACCCCGGTGACCCCTCAGGCCTGGCAGCCCCGTGGTGCCCTGTTCCTGATAAGTGCTCCCATTCCCGATAACGACTCCCATTCCCGATAAGGCCCCGATCCCCGGAGGGGCCCCAGCCGGCTGTGCACACTCAGCACTTTCCAGCAGGGCTATTTAAAGCCGGCCAAGAGCCCGGTGGCCCTTTCTCTCCCTCCCTCCCTCCCTGTCCAGCTGGACTTTCCTCCCACAGCCATGAGCTCCGGAGCAGCAGCAGGGCCGATCTTTGCCGAGGGTGAGGATTGCAGGGCGGCCTGGAGGGAAGCCAAGGCTGGCTACGATGAGCCCGATGCCCACCTGGAGATCCTGGGCAAGCCGGTGATGGAGCGCTGGGAGACGCCCTACATGCACTCGCTGGCCACCGTGGCTGCATCCAAGGGTAACGGGGGGCTCTGGGGTGTGCTGGGGGTGCAGCTTCCCCAGGGGGCTCTGGGGTGTGCTGGGGGTGCAGCTTCCCCTAAAGCAGCTGGGGTGGGGGGAGATGTTCTGCTGGGAGACCCCACTGCATGTGCCCCCCACTGCATGTGCCCCCCGGGGCAGCAGGGATATGGTGGCACTTGTGTCCTTGTGCCAGGGATGGGGACATGGGGAGGGGATGCAGCCACCTCCCATGGCCCTAATGATTTTGGGGCTATTTTCCCTCCCGGGATCTGCCACTTTTGGGGCTGTTTCCCCTCCCGGGATCTGCTACTTTTGGGGCTGTTTCCCCTCCCAGGATCTGCCACTTTTGGAGCTGTTTCCCCTCCTGGGATCTGCCTCTTTTGGGGCTGTTTCCCTTCCCAGAATCTCCCACTTTAGGGGCTCTTTCCCCTCCTGGGATCTGTCATTTTTGGGGCTGTTTCCCTGGCAGAATCTCCCACTTTTGGGGCTGTTTCCCCTCCCAGGATCTGCCACTTTTGGGGCTGTTTGCCCTCCCATGTCCCTGCCACTTTTGGGGCCGTTTCCCTGGCAGAGGGAGGGTTGGACGTTGTTTTTTCTCACTGGGATCACCTGGGGTGTTAGTTGGGGACAAAGGGCCACTGTGGGAGGACAGCAGGTGACAAGGGCAGCTGAGGGGACAGCAGGTGACAGGGACATGAGGCTGCTCCCAACTTCTCGGTGCCAGCAGCACCGCGTGCTCCCAACCCGCACCCAAAGAGCTCAATCTGGGGAAAGAACGGCTCAGAATTCAGTGCTTGGGGAGGGGTTTGAGGCACAGAAAACCCCGAGCTGTGAGTGCCGGGTTCCACCTGCAGGCGGCCGCGTGCTGGAGGTGGGGTTTGGCATGGCCATCGCCGCCTCCAAGGTGCAGGAATTCGGCATCGACGAGCACTGGATCATCGAGTGCAACGAGGGCGTTTTCCGGCGCCTGGAGCAGTGGGCCAAGGCACAGCCGCACAAGGTCAGGGGCACGCTGGGCTGTGCCAGGCTTGGGGGATGCCTGTGGCCCCCCAAGCTCACCCCTGTGCCCCCCACCCGCAGGTGGTGCCCCTGAAGGGGCTCTGGGAGGACGTGGTGCCAACGCTGCCGGACGGGCACTTCAGTGGTGAGACAGCACCAGCAGGATGGGCAGGGGCTGGGCTGGGCACCCCACTGCAAAATAGGGGTGCAGCAAAGCCCAGGGCATCCCAGGACATCCCTGAGCCATGGAAAGGGGCAGCAGTTTGGCCAGGGTGCAGGTGGAGACCAGATTGTCCCATGGGGCTGGGGACAGGGCACAGCTGTGTCCCTGGGGTCCTTGTCCTGGGCTGGATCCTTGTCCTGGGGAAATGAATCCTTGTCTTGGGGATCAGATCCTTGTCCTGGGGTGGATCCTTGTCCTGGGGAGCAGATCCTTGTCCTGGAGAAATGGATCCTTGTCCTGGGGAGCAGATCCTTGTCTTGAGGAGCAGATCCTTGTCCTGGGGTGGATTCTTGTCCTGGGGATCAGATCCTTGTCCTGGGGAAATGGATCCTTGTCCTGGGATGAATTCCATTCCCCCTTGTCCTGGGCAGTAGATCCTTGTCCTGGGCTGGATCCTTGTCCTGGGCTGGATCCTTGTCCTGGGGTGGATCCTTGTCCTGGGGAAATGGATCCCATTCCCCCTTGTCCTGGGCTGGATCCTTGTCCTGGGGAAATGGATCCTTGTCCTGGGCTGGATCCTTGTCCTGAGGAGCAGATGCTTGTCCTGGGGAAATGGATCCTTGTCCTGGGACGGATCCTTGTCCTGGGGGCCATCACATCGCTGCCTTCCAGGGATCAGAGCCATGGGCAGGGAATTGCAATGGGAACAGAGCAATTCCAGGCCGTGGAGGGGGATTTTCCCGGGACACAGGAGCCCCTCAGGTTTCTCCCAGCTAACAGCCAGCCCCCTGTTCCCGGGCAGGGATCCTGTACGACACCTACCCTCTGTCAGAGGACACCTGGCACACGCATCAGTTCAACTTCATCAAGGTGACACCTCGGGGCGGAGCTGGGGCTGCCGGGGGCTGAGCGGGAGGAGCTGACCCCAGTTCCCAAAATTCCCAAAATTCCCGGGGCAGGGCCACGCCTTCCGCCTGCTGCGGCCAGGAGGGGTCCTCACCTACTGCAACCTCACCTCGTGGGGGGAGCTGCTCAAAACCAGGTACAGCGACATCGAGAAGATGTTTGAGGTGAGCCGCTCCCCTCCCTGAAGCCGTGGAACTCATTTGTGGTGCTGCGGGACGCCAGAGGGCAGCTCGGAGGGGTTTTCCTTGGCTGTCTCACATGAGACACCCACCTGCCCTCCTCTCCCGCAGGAAACCCAGGTGGGGCCGCTGCTGCAGGCCGGGTTCAGGAGGGAGAACATCAGCACGAGGGTGATGGAGCTGCAGCCGCCCCCCGAGTGCCGCTACTACTCCCACCCCAGGATGATCACCCCCACCGTGCTCAAACACTGAGGGGTGGGAGCAGGAGCTGGGTGTGAGCTGAGGAGGAGGAGAACAGCTCTGATCTCCTTAAAATCCTTTAGAGATGGGTGGAGGCTTGGGATGGACAAAAGGAGAGGAAACCCCCAGCCCCAGGAGCCCCCTGTCCTTGTGGGCTCTATGGAAGATCTCACCCTGCTCTGTCCCCTCAAGACTTCAAATTCTCAATAAACTGGAATTTCACAGTGTGGTTCACAGCCTTTGGCCAAAAAGAACCAGCCATTTCCTCTAAAAACTGCATCATTTTGAGAAATCACAAGGTGGCTCCTCACAAGAGTCAAATAATCCAAACCAGGGGCATTTTGAGGCATTTCAGCTTCTCCTGAAGCAACTCCCCAGGGAAGTTTCCCAACATTTTTGGCCAAAGCCCACGGCAGCAAATCCTCACCCCAACCCCCCCTCAAAGCTCAATAAATGAGGTTTCCTCTCTCCCCAGAAGGGATAAAGTCCATTAAAAGGAATGAAATACCCAAACTGCTGTTCCCGAGCGATTTATTTGTCTTTCCAAAGTCTGTTTGTCCCTCAGGCACGACCATTCCTCATCCCAGGCTCCAGGGATGCATCCAGGACAGGCTGCTTTATCCCTGCCCTGCTCAGGAGCTCTACATTCACATTTATTAATCACATTCTGATTTTAAGCATCAGTATTTGACTTGTTACAGAAACAGAATTAATTTCTGGCCCCTAATAAACAGGGTTTATTAAATCCTGTGTAGGAATTACCAACAAGGAGCAGGTGGTGAGTAAGGGACGAGCTCAGGGAGTGCTCAGAAATCACCTGGACATGTGTTGGGTCTCAAAACTTCCCAACAAAACTAAAAAAATAATTCTGGCAAAGCCTTTATGTCACAATATGACATCAACTTCCCTGACAGATTGTTCAGACCAACTCAGCAGTGTTACCAAACTCAGCTCCTGCTTTTTAGCCCAGTTTTTCAGCCCCTCAGACCAGAGGGGTTTATTAAAGACAAAAAAGCACCAGGACTAGGTAGAGTTTTATTGGAAGGCGTGAGAGGAGCCAGATTTGTGCGTAAATGTGAGCAGTGAGTGGGGACATAAATAAAGGCTATTTCCTGTACCAGATCTGTATCCTCTTCTCCCTCTTGATTTTCCTCTGCAGCTGCAGGATCCCATAGAGCAGAGCCTCAGCTGTGGGGGGGCAACCTGAGAGAGAGAAAGGAGAGAAGGGAGGAAGGTCTCAGGGCAGGTACCTGCACAGAGCTGGAGCCAGCAGAGGTGCCAACCCCAGGACTTATCCCAAAGCTGAGCCCTCTGACTTTGTGTGGAGTGCAAAGAAACTAAATTGATGCTGTTTATAAAGATCTTTATCAAACATAGCAATTATTTAATATCAAAGTGTATCCAAACCCCTCTCTCACCCCACTGATGGTGCCACCACCATCACAACCTCCCCACCCCACAATCCCTGGAGCTGCTGCAACAGGAAAACCTTTCAAACTGAAACAGGAAAACCTCTCAAACTGAAACAGGAAAACCTTTCAAACTGAAACGGGAAAACCTCTCAAACTGCAACAGGAAAACCTCTCAAACTGCAACAGGAAAACCTTCCAAACTGAAACAGGAAAACCTTTCAAAGCTGCACCTGAATGCAGAGAATCCCCCTCTTCTCCCTGCCCTGCTCCCAGGAGGAGCTGCCCCTTGTACCTGGCACGTAAATGTCCACGGGCACGATGCGGTCGCAGCCCCTCACCACTGAATAGGAGTAGTGGTAGTAGCCCCCACCGTTGGCACAGCTGCAGGACAGGGACAGGAAGGTGAGCAGGAGGCCAAGGAAGGTGGCCCTGGGCAGGTGGGCACTGCCAGGCTCAGAGCCTCCACTCCACAGCTGACACTGCCCTGCCTGGGAGGGTTTCAGATGAATCCAAGCCAGCTGAACTGTGCCCATCTCCCTCACAAATCAGATGCCACAGCCGTCCCTCTCTGCTACAAACCCTTCCATTTTGCCTCAGAGCTTTCCCAGAATTTGCCCTGTTCCAGCCTGGACCGGCCACCCTCAGCCAGTGGGGACAAAAAAAACTTGTGGGGAAAGAAAATGGCGAGAATCATGGAATTATTGAGGGTGGAAAAGAACTCTGAGACCATGGAGTCCAACTGAATCCCCCATGGAGCAGATTCCAACTGAGTCCCTCATGAACAGATTCCAATTCAGCTCCTCCATGGAGCAGATTCCAAATTAATCCCCTCATGGAGCAGATTCCAACTGAATCCCTCATGGAACAGATTCCATTTGAGTTTCCCCATGGAACAGATTGCAACTGAGTCCCCTCATGGAGCAGATTCCAACCAAATCCCTCATGGAACAGATTCCAATTGAGTTCCCCCACAGAGCAGATTCCAACTGAATCCCCCCATGGAGTAGATTCCAACCAAGTTTCCCCATGGAGTAGATTTCAATTGAGTTCCCCCATGGAGCAGATTCCAGCACAGCAAAAGCATTTTAACAGCCAAAAGGAAACTCTGGCATTCTGGATACACACAGGTTTGGCAGCTGCAAAGCCCCTGAATCCATCCCTGGGAGGATTCACACACAGCACTCCCAGAAGGAACATTTCTCTGCTCTACAAGGCTTTTTAAGAACTTAGAAACACAAACAAGTGAAAAAATCCCCCCACAGCAGCGAGGACACGCCAGCACTCACCTCCCCATGGACACCACGTAGCGAGGCTCTGGCATCTGGTCATAGACCTGCAGAACAGGGATGTTTGGGGTGATGCCCACCTCCCCACCGTGCCCAAGTTCCCCGAGGCCCCCAAGCTCCCTGTCCCGTTCTCGGCTGTTTTTGATGGCCTGGAAAGGCTCGGGATGGCCTTGGGACAGCCCGCGCTCCAAAGGACGAAAAGAGTCTCCAGGTTTTTTCTCGGTCTTCAGTGTTCATTAGTTTTTATCTACAAAATTTTCTCTCGGCCCGACAGAGCACAGCACGTCGGCCATGTGCACACTGAGAGCCCTCGGGGCGGTCACTGATCTTTATACCCTAAACTACGTATAAGATATTTACCTATTTTCCCCAATACCTTTCACCCTTATTGACAAGTGCACTTTTAGTAAGAACCAATCCCAAAGTGCCACCACCACAGAAGATGGAGGCCAAGAAGGAGAAGAAGAAGGACAGGACACGCCCTAATTCCTCCATCTTGTCTCCCTAGAACCCCCCTGTACCGAGATTCTAAAACCTGTGTTTCACACTCTAATTAACCTATCCCTTCACCATTTATCCCAGTGTGATCCTCCCGTCCTCATACAGGTGTCGTTTCCCTGTGCAGGATCAAAGTCCAGCCACCAGACACTTCTGGCAACATTCCAGGACCTCCGAGCCCCCCAAGGGTTGTCTCGGTGACTCTGCACATCAGCACTGCTGTGCTGAGATCCCACAGCTCCCCATACCTTGCGCAGGGCCGGGGCCATTTTGTTGGTGAGGGTCCCTGCCACGATCATGACGTCGGCCTGGCGGGGGCTGGCCCGGAACACGACCCCGAAGCGATCCATGTCGTAGCGAGGGGCGGCCATGTGCATCATCTCCACGGCACAGCACGCCAGCCCGAAGGTCATGGGCCACAGGGAGCTCTGTGGGGACAGCCAGGGGCTCAGGGACAGCCAGGGGGACACACACAGAGGGAGAGTTCCAGGAGGAGAACGCACGGAGCAAGGGGAGTGGGTACAGGGAGAGCTGCAGGGCTGATCCCCTGACACTGCTGAGGCCACCTCAGAGCCACCAGGGACAGCTCAGAGCCACCAGGGACAGCTCAGAGCCACCTAGGGACAGCTCAGAGCCACCAGGGACAGCTCAGAGCCACCCAGGGACAGCAGAGAGGGACAGCTCAGAGCCACCAGGGAATGCAGAAAGGGACAGCTCAGAGCCCCATGGGGACAGCAGAGAGGGGACAGCTCAGAGCCCCATGGGGACAGCAGAGAGGGAACAGCTCAGAGCCACCCATGGAGAGCAGAGAAGGGATAGCTCACAGCCCCATGGGGACAGTGGCGGCCAGATAAGGACCAGCCCAGCTAAGGCACAGCACAGCACACCCAGGGCACTGTCACTTGTGCCACCCTTCCCCACAGGGCAGGGACAACTCAGAAGTCCCTTTTCCTGTGACCAAAGGGCAGTTCCAGACCCCCCCCCCACCCTCAGCCCGTGTCCCACAGTGTCACTGGACCCCAGTGTCACCCTCTGGCCACAGAACTCGGCCAAGGGAGCTCTGAGCCTATTTTTATCCCGAGCAGGAGGTGCCTCTGGTGTGCCACCCTCTGTCCCTGGGTGCCAGGGAGCCTGGTGGCACAGGACTCACCCGCCGTGCCCAGTTGACCAGGTCATCGAGCTTGGCAATGACGTACTCGCCACGGCTGCTGGGGACGTAGGATTTCCTCTGGACAACAGCAGAGCTCTTCTGGACCTGGACAGAGCTGAAAGGAACCATCACCCTCCAGTTATTACCTTGCAGAATCAGCATTTAGCCCTCCACGGGGCTGAGGAATGACAATGGCACCCCTCTGTTTGTGGCAGAGTGGGATCTGTGGGTTTGGGGCTGGGGCAGAGCCCCTCAGCCATACCCCAACCATAGAGAGCCCCTGGCTGCCTCTCCCCGGGGCTCCAGAGCTGCCAGAACCCCCCGGATTTTAGCACAAGGAGGTGCCACTGGGACCCCCGCCCGGGAATGGTGGCACAACCAGCTGTTCCCTGTCCCCAGGGCAGGAATTGTCACCTGTCAGCGCGATCGGCCGCCGGCGTCTGATGGAGCTGCTGGGCGAGCACGGGACTCACAGAGCCGGGCCTGGGGACAGAAAGGACCCGCACAAGGTGAGGGGTGACAGAGCCCCCGCAGGAGCCGGTGCTCCACAAACCCAGCGGGAAGGAGCCCCCAGTCACCCCCAAACTCGGGGAGCCGTTCAGCCGCGGCTCCGGGGTCCCCCCGGTGCCCCACCACCGCCAGCCCCGGGGTCAGCGCTGTCCCCGCCCAGGGTCCCACCGCCCCGGTGCTCCCAGCCCCGGGCTCACCGCCAGCCCAGCACTCCGTGCGCGGGGAGCCGGAGACCTGCGGGAGAGAACGGGAGAGCTCAGCCCGGCTGTGGGCCACGGCGGGGCCTGGTGTCCCCTCAGGGCTCCCCCCGGTCACTCCTTCGGCGGAGGGCCGGGGGCTTGTTTCGGTGCCCAGACCGGTCCCGGTCCCCCATCCCCATGCCCGTCCCCATCCCTATCCCCATCCCCATCCCCATGCCCGTTCCCACCCCTATCCCCGTCCCCGGTCCCGGCCCCGCTCACGGCCCAGCGCCGCCATCTCTCCGCAGCCCTTCAGGCAACCTCTGCGCGCGGTGCACCCGCTAAAGGGCCCGGCGCGAAACCGCCTCAGCGCTCCGGCGGGAAACGCGTCCCGGGCCAGGAGTTCCGCAGGCACCCTCCGCCTCCGCCGCGGCCCGCGGTAAAACGATCCCAAAAGGACCCGAAATCGACCCCAAAACGATCCCGGCGGGCGGGGCCGTGCCGGAGCCGCCGCAGGACTCGGCAGGGAGTGCCTGTCCTGGAGCTGCGGAGCCACGATCGCGCAGGAAAATAACGAGCGGACGTCCCTGGGTGGGCTCGAACCACCAACCTTTCGGTTAACAGCCGAACGCGCTAACCGATTGCGCCACAGAGACCGCGTTGCCGCCGGCTCCCGCCTGGCACCGTGTCCCGCCTGTCCCGTGTTGATGTCCTTTGTCCCACGTCCCGCTTGTCCCGTGCCCGTGTCCCCCATCCCGCCTGTCCTGTGCCCCGTGTCCCCCATCCCGCCCCTCTATCCCCTCGTGTCCCCTCCCATGTCCCCCCGCCCAGCGTGGCGCCACCGGCCGTGACGGGTGGGGGGGGCGGAGCACCCTCGTGCAGCCGAAATAGCTCAGTTGGGAGAGCGTTAGACTGAAGATCTAAAGGTCCCTGGTTCGATCCCGGGTTTCGGCAGAAGCTTTTTTTTTTCCCCTCCCGGGATCGGGGTTGCAAAAGCGCTGTTTTCATCCCAAAACACCCCCCGAGGCTTCGGAGCTCGTTAGCCTCTCCCCAGACTCTGCACTTGATTGTTTTAATATCCTGGAAACACACACACACCAGAGAGGGCTGAAGGACTGTAACACTGGATTAGTGATAAATATTTTTAAATAAATATGAATTAATAATAAATATGAGTCCATTATCTTACATTGAGGAGGCAGCTGAGGGAACATGGATTAATTAACACTGGACAATTACAAGCAGAGGCAGTGTGTGTCAGCCCATTTTAAATAAAACACAAAACCAAAACCCAGCGAGTTCATTTCCCAGTGATTAATAATGTGAGACTGAGACGGTTTTTATGCACCAGATAAAGCTGTAAGATCCTATATTCACCTGCTGTAACACTGGGGTGGAAGCACCACCCAGCACAGATTAAAATAATCAAACAAAAGCAGCAAATGTTGATGAATCACTTCATCCCACTTTATTGATCCACATGATTGATACATGGTGAGGCTGAGCCTGGTGCCCAGTGCCAGCGAGTGAGCGGTGGGGCAGCACTGCAAGGGGGTGGCACAAGCTCAGGATGATCCCTGGCAGTGCCCAAGGCCAGGCTGGAGCACCCAGGGGACAGTGGGAGGTGTCCCTGCCCATGGCTGCCCTTCAAGGTCCCTTCCACCCCAAACCATTCCAGGATTCCACAGCTGCAGGGAAGGTGAGGTCTGGAACACAATCCTTGCAGAACTCGAGGAGTTTTGATGGAAAAGGGAACACAGGGTTCATGGAAAGGAGGGGGGAAGTTGAACCCCTCAATTCCAAAATGACCCCAGAGCACTGGGATGAGGGGCAGGCAGTCCCTCCCCTTTCCATCTCCAAAGGGAAAGTGCCACACACAGCTCTGAGTTAACTCCATCATTAATTTTTTTATCTTAACCCACAAAATTCATTATCCCTCGTCACAGGCTTTAATAAAACCCTCACACTTCCTGGCCTGTCCCTATAATTGAGGTACTTGAGATAACGGGAATAAGGATTGCATGGAAAAACTCATTAGAGAGCACAGAGCAATTAAAAGTGTAATTAAAATATATTCAGATAATTACTACAGCCAGGATAGACATCTGGATCCCAATTTCAACTTCTTCATTTCAAATCATCTTGGGTTTTACTGGACAAGCAAGGAGATCCTATTTCATTATCACAGAAAAACCCTAATCAGGGGGTTTTATGTATCATTTATCATTATTCATCATTAATTAGTTCTTGGTGACACTGCTTCCATGTGCCACAGCTCCAACAACGATGAGCAGGGACCTGGGCAGGATTAAATTGGGAATTTAGATGAGAAAAAGACAATTAAAAGCCTCCCAAAATTCACAGCCTCACAAGAGGCAATACACTGGTTCAGTGAGAGGAAAAGGGAATGATTTTGTTTGAGCAAACCTGGATTCCTTCCCCATGGAATTTGACTCGTGAGGACAAAACAAGAACCCAAATGTTTGTGATCCAGGTGGCAGCTCTGGGCACCAATCTGATTTCCCTGCCAGGAACCCCCTGGATTTATCAGGAGCAGGACAAGATCCCTTCCCAAGTCGGGTGTTTGGCTGAAAGAACCCACGTGGGAGCAGCAGAAGCTCTGCACAACCCTGGGGTCTCTGGAAACCCCCCAGGAGGGCACTGATGGATGAGGATCCACTGGATCCTGAACACAGCGAGGCCATGAAGCAGCAGCAAGAGCTGGGAGCAGAGGGTTTCGGAATATACACACAGACTTTACAAAGAATGCCACGTTTTATACAAATCACCAATGGTTATTTACACCTGGTGGCCCCCAGGACAGCCCTGGCCACTCCTCAGCTCTCCACAGGTTCTGGCTCAGTCTTGAGCTTTTTGCTTCCCAGGACTTGCTCATCAAACAATTCTCTCTCTCTGGAAAGAAAAATAGAAAAGGTTTTAAGTTAAAATAGGATGTTATTGTCCAGATTACATCACCTGGACAAATTAAATTTGCAGGGTTGGAGTAGCTCAGCTGGGACATTTTCCACATTTTGTCCCTCAAAGGAGGAGGACACTGAGCTCTCCTGCCCTCACCTGAAACCTTCTCTGTATCCAACAAGAAAGGAGTAAAAACTCTTGGAAAATCCTGAAACCTCTTCTGTATCCAACAAGAAAGGAGTAAAAACCCTTGGAAAATCCTGAAACCTCTTCTGTATCCAACAAGAAAGGAGCAAAAACCCTTGGAAAATCCTGAAACCTTTTCTGTATCCAACAATGAAGGAGTAAAAACCCTTGGAAAATCCTGAAACCTTTTCTGTATCCAAAAAAAAGGAGAAAACCCCTTGGAAAATCCTGAAACATTTTCTGTATCCAAAAAAAGGAGAAAAACCCTTGGAAAATCCTGAAACCTTCTCTGTATCCAAAAAAAAAGGAGAAAAACCCTTGAAAAACCCTGAAACCTTTTCTGTATCCAACAATAAAGGAGAAAACCCCTTGGAAAATCCTGAAAACAAAGCTACCTTTTGCTCACAGGGGGTCCTTTAATGTATTTCTCTTCTGCCTTCTCATAATCAATGTCATCCACAGCAGCAATGGCACAGATGATGGCCTAGAAAAGCATTGAATAATTTATAATAATAATCAATAAGCAAAATTAAACCACAGCCAGGGATTTGAAACTGCCTCAGCTGAGCACGTTTTGAGAAAAGGGTTCCTCAGTAACTTAGAAAATTTGGATGAAACTCCTCATTGAATGCCTGAAATTCTTAAATAAAAAATATAAAATTGTTCTGTATCATCCCCTGGGGGGTATTTTTATGCTCTGATTAAAATATTCTTCACAGTAATTTTGTTTCTACACGAGTTAATGTTCTCCTGGGAAAATTCCTGGGAAGAACACAAAGTATCCACAACAACTGTGAAACAGCCAACACACCACCCCCCACCTCAACACACACAAAGGAACAAGAAAACCCTGAGAAGTTACCAAATTCAATAAAAAACCCCCCAAAAAAAGCTTTGAAGCATTTCAGAGGTAATTAAAATATACCAGGAAATTATCAGTCTGCTTTTAAAAACAAATCTACCTGAAGCTTCTCCTTTCTGTGCTTAAAAATCAGCATTTGAGTGAGTCAGGCTGTAGGCAGGGGTGGATATTCCTGCCTGGCTCAGCTTTGGGAACTCTCCCCACATCATTCCATAGGAACCACACCACAACAAAGGAATAAATCATGGGAATTTGTGTCGCAGACATTTTGTCACAAAAATCCTTTCTTTAAAACTTGTTCGTTTTCTGGGAAGCAAGGGCCCCCAAAAAGAAAATGTAAACAATTATTATTAGCTACTGTAAAATGCAATAAGATGCACCTGTGATTGGTTCATGTTTCATGTTTTTAATTAAGAGCCAATCACAAGAGCAAGGTGGGGACAGAGTCCCTAGACACAACTTTGTTATAGATTCTTTCTTTCTATTCTTAGCTTAGCAGCTCTGCAACTTCTCTCTTTATGCTATTTAGTATAGTTATAATGTATTATATATCATATATCAATAAATCCAGCCTTCTGATCAAGAAACAAGATTCTCGTCCGTCTTTCTCTCACCCCCAGCGATCCACTCAAGTCGCTGGAATAAATTTGTGTCATTTATCACGCCCCAGTTCATTTCTCCTCCTGTTTCAGGCTCCCTCACCTCAGGTAAAAGCACATCTGAGATGAATCTGATGCCATCCCCCAGGATCTGGTGCAGGTTCTTGGTGTCCATCTCCCTGTAGACCTCCTTCAGGTACCCAACCACCAGGTCCAGCTGCTCCTCATCCTCCAGGTAAGTCTCCACACAGGTGATGTAGCGGCTGGAATTCAGGAATTTCTTCAGCCAGCGCGATTGTTTGCCACTTTTCAAGATCCCCAGGAGATGCTCTTCAGCCCCTTTGCTCTTCACTATGAACTCCACCAGCTTCTTGTTCTCCCTGTCCCTGGCAGCTCTGGTCCTGTCAGGGAGGAGTTTCCTGGGGGGTTTCTGTGGGGAGGTGTCTGAGGAAGACTCTCCAGCCCCTTCCTCCCCTGTGTTTGGGAATGCCATCTGCACCGCACTCTGGTACCCCTCTTTCCTCACTGGGTAGCCTGAAAGAGAAACCACAACAATTTCTATTGAAATGGGTTTTCAACATTACAAAGGGTTTTTATAGCCATGTCGATAGAAAAGAAGGAATTTTATTGCTCAGAGGAGTTTTTTTCCCAAAGGAATGGATTCACTTACTGATATCAGCAGCAAAATACTCCAGGAAGGACCCAGTGAAAGAACGACAGCCTAAAACCCAAAACAGGGGCAGAGATCAGTTCCACTCACCCAGAAATCAAAACCTGGGGTTCCCTTTTCCTGGTGGATCTCAGGATGAGATCCCAGAGAAGCTGGGAGTGCCCAAATCCAGGCTGGACAGGGCTTGGAGCACCCTGGGATGGTGGAAAGTGTCCCTGCCATGGCAGGAGGGGACTGGATGGGGTTGAGGGTCCTTCCCACCCAAGCCAAGCTGGGATTTGGTGGTTCCATGGCCACTGCCCCTCCTCACCCACTCGGATCCGATAGTCCTGGATCAGCTGGAGGCACCACTCGATTTCCCTGGAATAATTCTCCTTGGCTCGTTCCTGCAAAGCAAGGAGGATTTGCTGTCCCAAATCCAGCAGCTCCCCAAGAGTTTCAGCCCAGGATGCCATGGACCAAAATCCCTATGAATGGCTCTGAAATAGCAATCTGTTTTAAGCAGAAAACCAAACCTTGCTCTTCAACCTTTCTGTCTCAATTTAGCACTCCTGGCATTATTCAAATGATGTCCATTGTCTTTTGTAAGACAATGCCGTGCAAGTATTTCATGTGCTGGTGAGATCAGCTCTCCTCCCTGTTCCCAAGTGCTGGAGACCCATCACCACAAGGGCTCACAACCAGGGTGCTCCTGGATGTGAGAACAGAGGAAAGCCACGAGATCCAACAGTTAGGAGACAGGAAAGGATGGCACACTCTGATTTTTCACTGGGTCATTATTGCCATCAGCCATTGTTACTCTTGGAAGACATGCTGCTCCTCTAGGGTGTGCTCAGGGAGCTTGGGAGCAGCTGGCTGGCTGTGGGCACTCACACAGAATCACAGAATAATGAAGTTGGAAGAGACCTCTAAGAAATAGTCCATGACAATTTTTTCCTTGCATTAAAGCAACTCCTGGCAGAGCTGTCACAGGGATGAGAGTGGCTTTGAGAGGGGGTTAAACCCCACATTCCCCCCCTGGCCATTTATATCTTAATTTCCCACTGTATTTGCCCAAACCCTGCAGTTCCACATCTCTGGGATACTCACAATGAGCTCCTGCTTCTCCTCACAGTCAAAGTGCTTCAGGCTCTTCAGAGACACTGAGAAACTTTTAAAGAAACAAAGTCAGAGGTGCAACTCAACTGCCCCACTTCCCTCTTTATTTACTGCAGTTCTGCTTCTCCCCAAAAATCCCATTTCCCAAGGAATTCAGGAGCACAAATTTTAATGGTTTTTGCTTTCAGAGCAAGTTAAAAGTATGGAATCTTCTAACAAATGAGAAGTACCTGGTTTAGAGAAAAGTTAAAGGCAGCTCAGTGTTTCCAGAAAGTTCTTGGAAAGTTTTTCTACATTCCAGGGATTTTTTTGTTTTGTTTTCAACTCCTCAGCTCTTCCCAGGGACAGGGAGCTGCCTCAACCTGCAGCATGACAAAGCACCTCCAACCCTCACCTGGCCCAGCCCCTCCCTCCCAGATCAACCTGGAGAGGTTTGTCCTCACCCTGCCCCGGGAATATCAGAGACTGGAAATTCAGGATGGGATGGAAATCCACATTTACCCTTTTTTCTTCTCATTTGTGGTGCCATCTATGAAGAGCACACAGGCCCTCCGGTGCTTCCTCTTCACTGCTTTCACCTGGAGAGAGGATAAAGCCTCAAAAATCCTGATCTTGATAATCAGGGATATTTTTCTGTGGATATCACGCACTACAACCCACACTTAAATTTCGCCTGTTGCTGTAACTTTCCTTTATTACACAAATATGAAAAACTCAAGAGGAAGCAGCAATCAGTTCCCCAAAGGGAACATTTTCAGTGCACAAAGAGCCTCCCCTTTCTTTTGCAAATTGGGAACAAAGTTCTGCTCCATGACAAAGGAACTGGGATAATCTTGTGCTCTGCACAAACAGCTGTCAAGTGACCACATTTTGAGTGCTTTTAGCACAAATTTACTTCTATCAATTTCGAAATGCTTCTACTGGAAGGTTTTTAACACTTCCAGGAAGGGCAAAAGTCACTCCAGAGATGGGAGTTGCTCCTTATCAGCAGGATATGAGGAAGCAGGAGCTGCTCTTACCACGGCTGGCCAGTAGGGATAGCGCCGCAGCTTGCACCACACCAACATCCCCTCCTCGAAGAATTTGGGTTCTGGGGTGAAAAAAAGGGGAAATTTTCCTTAAAAACAATAAAACAAAACAGGTGCTGCCCATCTCTTCTTCTACTCCAGGAGTTTCTCTCCAGTGCTTTTACAGTGACCCCAAAATGCAGCACAGAGTCCTGAACTGAAACCCAGCAAATTCAATGCCAGGCCCTTATCCAGTTTCAAGGATTTTTTCATTTCATTCTGCAGTAAAATGCTCAGGAAATGCATTTTATCCCAAGCCTGGACACAGCTGGATCCCCTCCTGGAATCCCCAGGGATTTCAGGCAAACTGAAGCTCCCCCAGCAGGAAAAGCCTCAGCCCTGTGTGCTGCTGTCTCACCTCGATGGGACAGAACACTGGGGAAATTTTCCTCCTCTTCATCGGCCAGAGGTGAGAGTGGAGGGAGGCTCTCCGAGGAAACTCTCCTGGAACACATCCCAGAGGCTTCCAGCCCTGCCAACAGCACCAGGATCCAGGGATTAGGACAGGATCAGCTTCAGAGCAGGTGAGAGACACCTGAGTGTGACCCAGAGGGGACCTGAGACACCTGCACACTTTAATTAGGGAATCCTAATTCACTGATCATGTGGATAAAAGGGGAAAAAAATGGGGCTGCTCTCAGGACCTCATTCAGAGACACTTAATCTCAATTTATCAGAGAGCAGTGTTGGGAAATTTAGGAGACTAGAGAATGGAAAAGTACAAAGCAGTGGCTAATTCCAAGTCCTGCACCTGTGAGACAGCGTGTCCTTGGGCCTAGCTGTAGTAGGATAACAAATAGTGAAAGAGACATGAGAAAAGAGAGATGTAACCCCTAAGGAATGGGGAAGAGTTCATGGTATAGTTTAACCAATAGATTGCTTGGCTTACAGAATATTCATAAGCTTATTATTTGCTGTATAAGTGTTTGATGCTTTCTTTAATAAACTGGACCTGTGATGAACCAGCTGGTGTCCTGGTCCCCTTCCAAAGACAGAGCAGTAAGGGAAAACAAGTGTGAGCTAAAAAACCCCCCGTTTTCCATGGAAAACCCAACCACCACCCAAGGCCTCCTCAGCTCTGAATGGTTTCCATTTCTGCTCCCCAGGAATGGAAAGCAAAAGGAATTAAATCAGCAATTCAAGAGCCACTCCCCAAAAACAAAGCAACGTTCCAAGGTCCCACATGGGATGAAGGTTTCCCTTCCCCCCAAGGGATTTGCCCACCTTCATCCTCCTCAGAGTCAGGGGCTTTGCTCCCAGGCAGGTGTGAGGGATCCTGGTTTTCCTGCTCCTGGGGCTGAGGGAAGGCACCAGAAGGGCCAGGTGAGGATCCAGGGTGGTTCCTGCATTTCCTGTCTGCCCCATCCAGGTGTTTTCCACCCTCTGCCTCTCTCCTCCCATCCAGCTGCTTTGCCAGGCTCTCACTCTCACTGCTGATGCTTTTCTCCAACTCATCCGAGGCAGTTTCACTGCAGGAATCCAGGAATGCTCTCCCAGGCCGAGCTCCTTTCTTTCTGGAAGGTTCCACAGTGCCAGACTTAGAGGGGACAGAGGGAGACCCCTCCTCATGAGCCACCTGTGCTTGATCCTGGGTGGAATCATCCCTCCATCTTCTTTTCCTTCCTTGCTGATTTTTTCCAACCTCTGCCTTACAGGAGACTCCATTCCCCATTTTGGGCTGCATTTTTTTCTGTCTGGGTGACGATTTTGGTTCTGCTTTTTTGCAGTTGTGACCATCAGGGGCTGGTGCCACACTCGAGTCCCTGGCACCACACCTGGCAGGGTTTGTGCCACCTCCAGGAGCTTTCCCACTCCTCCCTGGAGCCACAGAACCTCCCTGGCTGCGTGCTTTGGGATCATCCTTCATCCCAGAGTTATTTTGAGCTTTCCTTTTCCTCTTGGCAGCCTCAGGTTCTGATTTTTTCGAGCGAGAGCGCAACGAGAAGCTGTGGGAGGGGGTGGGTGGGGCAGATTTCTCCCGGGAAAATTCAGAATTTGGTCCTTCTGCAAGTGGCATTTGAGTGCTGGAGTCAATCTCATGGAGAATATCCAGGGCAATTTTAAGGGAACAGCGATATTGCAGCTCCTCCACGGCCTCACTCATGGTTTTCTTTTGCTCTGATGAGGAAAAAGATTCAATAAATGAAATTATCATCATTATTCCATCATAAACGTTACTCCTAGTATTTGCTTTAAGGTGAATTTTTTACCACTGAAATCACCCACAGTTCCCAAGGCAAAGGATGGAGACACACAAACATCAAGCTGGATGTGCCTCATTTTGAGGGAAACTCAAATTTCCTCACCATCCCTCCAACAAATCACCCCAGGGAAGAAGAAAATGATGAATTTTTAACCTATTTCCCAACTTTATGGAAAAAGGAAAAGAAAATAAAGTGAAATATACAAGTTTTATCCCCCCAGGCTGAGTTTCTGTGGGGGATTCTTCACCCAGAAAAGGCACAAAGTAGCACATTTGGGGCTGAGTTTTTAGAGGTATTTTTCACCCAGAAAAGACAAAAAGCAGCACATTTGGGCCCCTCCCTCCTCACCCAGGGTGGAGGCGATGGCCTTGATCCTCTCCTCTGTCAGGGGAACCACGTTTGCAGAGCTCACACTGACCCTGGAACACAAAAAGAGAAAAGGATTCCTTTCTTCCCCTTATGTTTTTAACCTCTGAGAATGCAAAGGTGGGATAGGAACAAGGATACTCAACTGCTTCTCCAAGCCAAGGATTTCAGCTTTAAATCCCATCCTTTTTGTGGTGGCAACAGGACTGCTCCCAGCAACTCCAGGTTTGCACAAAACCTACAATAAAAGTGAGAAATCTCCATTGAAAATCCTGACCAAGAGCAAAACGTTTCTCCAAGAGCAGCTTGACAGTGCCTGGGAGCAGCCTTGGGATCGTGGAATGATAAAATCCCAGGATGGATTGGTTGGGAAGGGACCTTAAATCCCATTTCATCCCAGGCTGCTCTGGAAATCCATCCCAGGGTGGAATTTTTCCCCAATGCCCCATCCAACCCTGCCGTCTGGCAATGAGAAGTTATTCCCCATGGCTCCAGGCCATCTCCATTTTTCCTCTTGGCATCTCCACAGCTCACACAAGCTCAGACACGTTTGCTGAGACCTCTCCCTTCCTTCCTGCTCTGCTCCAAGCAACCTCCACAAACATTTCCTCGTTCCTCCTCACCTTGGCTGGCCACAAACGCCTCTTCCACTTGCAGAGAATGAATTCTTGGTCAGTCATGGTTGAGCTTCACGTGGAAGAGGGCAATTGCCAAGGTGTTCTGAGGGGAGAAAAAGGGAATAAAGGAGTCACCCACCTTTTTCCATTGTAGTCTTTGTTTTTTGAAGGAAATACAGGATTTAATCAAACATATTACTATAGTTATTATTGTTACCAGTGAAGGGATCACTGCACTGATATTACTCTGCAGCTTCCCCAATATTATATCTTAAATTCCATTTTTCTGTAGAAGCTGTGGCTGCCCCATTCCTGGAAGTGTCCAAGGCCAGGCTGGACAAGGTTTGGAGCAACCAGGGATAGTGAAAGGGATGGGACTGGATAGGCTTTAGGTCCTTCCAACCCAAACAACCCCAGGATTCAAGAATTCCATAATTCCAGGAGCACAAGCGGCTCTCACTGTGTGAGGAAAACACTATCAGCAATTACACAATGCAGCCATGGGCCTGCCCAATCCACAGCTTCCTGCGACCAAACCCTGAAAACAGGGAACTACACCCTCAAAATAACGCTCTGGATATTTTACACGTCGTTTGATGCCAATTTTTATAGACGATTTGCAACAGAAACACGAGCAGAGCAGCCTCAGAGCCCTCAGGGCTTCCTTACGGGCTTTAAAAAAACACATACTAAAGATCTTCCTGTACTTACAAGCTCCAGGTGCTGGGATGGCCGCGGCTCCGGGATCGCGGCCCTGCGGAGGGAGAGAAGGAGGGAGGGAAGGAGAGAGGGACGAGGGGCCGTTAGCGGAGCCCGGAACGGCGGGGCCGGTGCGGGACCGGTGCGGGGCCCCGTGAGGCGGCGCGGGCACAGCGGGAACCGCCCGGCCCCACGTGAGGGGAGGGACGGCACCGCACGAACCCCCCCGGTACCGTGAGGGGAAGGATGGGAGCGCACGAACTCCCCCGGTACCGTGAGGGGAAGGACGGGAGCGCACGAACCCCCCCGGCACCGTGAAGGGAGGGACGGGACCCTTCCCCAAACCGCCCTCGCTGAGGGCAGAGACACCCAGAGTCCCGCACTCGGTGAGGGACGGGACAGGGCCCCCAAAGCCGTATCAGTGAGGGGAAGGATGGGACGGGACCCCCCGTACAGAGCTCCCTCCATTAGGGACGGGACCCCAAACCCCCCTCCGGGAGGGATGGAACGGTCCAAGCGCTCTGTGAGGGGAGTGACGAGACTACCCCAAAATGCCTCGGGGAGGGGAGGGACGGGACCCCCTCAAAAACGCCTCGGGGAAGAACAGGACACCCCCAAAAACGCCTCGGGGAGGGGAAGAACAGCACCCCCAAAACACCGCGGTGAGGGGGAGCACGGAACTCCTCAACACCCTCCCTTCACAGGGGTCACCCCACAACCTTCCCTGCTGAGGGCAACAACGGGACCCCCCCCAAAACGCCTCGGGGAAGGGAGGGACAGGGCTCCCCGCTTCGCCCGGTCATAGGACGGGCGAGACTCCCAAACACAACCCCGATGCCGGTGATGGGCCCCAGACCACCGTCTCACCCCCAGATCCCGCTTTAAGGCCCGGGGGGCTTGGGGGGGAGGGGGCACAGTTACCGTGCGCGCTCCCGACAACGCCGCCCTCCACAGGAGGGTCTGCGCACGCGCCGTGCGCGCCGCCCGGCACCGCCCCCCCGGACCAATCAGCGAGCGCCGCTTGGCGCCCCGCCCTCCTCGCCGAGGCCAAAACACGAGGCTCATCCAATCAGAGTGCGCGCTGCTGCCTTAGCCACGCCTACCATCTTCTATTGGCCAGTTGGGCGGAAGCCGCTCCTAGTCTGGGGAGGGCGGCATGGCAACGGGGCGAGTGACGTCATAGGCAGGAGCTGTGACGTCATATGATGGTTTGGGCGGGAGCTGCGAGCCCGGCCATGGGCAGGGTCACCGTTGTGAAAAATGCGTATTTTATATGGGCTTTTAGCAAATATTAAAGTGAATATTATACGTGTTATGTTACGGTTATGCTGTATTAATTTACATATTAAATTATGCTGTATTAATTATTTAAGTAGTGTGTTAAATATAGTTTAGGTTATAACATCATGTAACTATGTACGTGGGATTTTTTTTAAGAAAGGAATGAGGCACTCACAGCAGATAGATAGAATGGTTATAAAAATAGCAATGTAATTAGAGTAATTATAATATGGACAATTTGGATTAGGACAATATGAGACAATAAGAACAAAGAGTTATGGATGTCTGGGTAGCTCTTTCTGGGTAAAATAAGCCCAAAAAAGGACACAGTGAACAGAAGATTAACCCTTAAAAACAATAACCTGTTGCATATTCATACATTATGCATAAATTCCATTCAAACACAGAATTCTGTCTGGTCAGTGTCAACTTCTTCCTCTGAATCCTGAGGTGTCTTCAGGGCTGAGCAAGGTAGGAAAAAGTTCATTTCTTCTGATAATGGGACAATAAATTCTTTTTCTCTGAAAGATTGGTGTCCTGTGCAAGTACCTCATTCCTTTAAAAAATATCCCATATACACAGTTCCTATTTTAACTACAAAAATTACCTTTTAACTACAAAACTACATTTACCCCACTATAAAAATGTTAATACAGCACTACTAATCAATACAACAAAATACATATAATAAATATCTGTAGAGCCACATAATATCCACTTTTCACAAACTGGTTGAACTACAACTTCTTAAAAAACTCAGTTCCTTACCAGCTTAGAACACCAACCCATTCCATCCCTAATCTTTAGATTTTTAAGTAAAACAGCAAACACAGAGCCCACGCTCAGAGGTTTGATGTTTTATTCACTGTCTCTACTTGGTCACCACCACACTGCAGCACTCACTCAAACACACTCTGCAAACAGACCAAAATTCACCTCCCCATCAGGAAACACTCCCCACCAGGAGTGCATTTTCCCCATCTTTAAATACCTGTGGAATAACAATAATAATAAATAAACTCCAGTTCTGGTTTGCTTTGCAGTTCCCTCCTTCATCCCACTGCTGGAGATAGTCTGTGTAATTGATTTGTCAATGTAATTCCCATTTTATTGGGAATCCTGCAGCTGTTTCTCAGCCTCTTCCCTGCTCTGCAGGCTCTGGGGGTGCCAGCCTGGTCATTAATCAGCATTTCATGTCAAAGGATAGAAAATAGTCTTTAAAACCTGGCTTGGGGAACAACAAGGCAGAGTTCAGGTCCCACAGAGACACAACACAGAGCTGGAGCTGAGCACCCTGCAAGGCTCAGCCCTCAGGGTTAGGAAAAGAAGAGGGAAAAATGCCAAAAATGCAAAATAAGGGGGAATTTCCCTTTGCTGCAGAGTCCCACGGGATCAGAGGCTTTGTTTCACCCTGGGACACCTCTCTGGGCAGCTACTCCCCACAAAAGAGCAGTTCAAGTTCAAAAAGTGCAGCTCAGGCCAAGCCATGATTTTTTTCCCCGCTCAAAACTCCTCTTGAACACCCCATTTCTCTGCTGTCTTGGGCTCCCCAAACCCCCTGAGCTCCAGGATGGATCCTCACTCTGAGATATTTTGATTTCTGTTCGTGCTGGAGAAAAATCCCAAATCCAATTTTCCTCCCCCTGCTCTGTCACCCTCAGGTCCGTCACTGCTGCATCACCTTTGGCAAAACATCCAATTTTGGGGTTTTTTTCCCCTTCCTGCCTCAGCTGCTCAATTCTGCAACCCCATTCTGGGGGAGTGAACCTCCTGTATAAATTTGGTGGGATTTTTACCCTGAACACATCATTCTAAGCCCAAAATGTGGGGGTGCAGGGGATGGTTGCTCCCTTAGGGCTCAACCTGCAATTCCCACATGGAATATGGCTTTTGCTGACTTGCTCTCTCTCAAAATTTGTAAATGGTTTGGTTATTCTTTTTCCTGCCTTAAAAAAAAAAAATTCCTTTTCAAGAAGTTTGTCTGCTGTTTTCATTAAAAAATAAAAATTAAAAAGTATAAATGCACTGGCCTCCCTCAGGGAACAGCAGTTATGTGGCAAAATCTCACAATATTCAAATTCTTGCGTTAAAATTGTGTCAATCCTGACCTGGAACACCAAGGGGAGGCTGGACCAGCATTCCCAGACCCCACCACCACCAGCAGGGATCCACAGCAAGGCTGAAGGTGGGGAACACACCCAAAAACCACAACCCAGGGCTCAGGAATGACAAGGGAAGCACTGGCATGGGCTGTTCTCCAGAGAGGATTGAATATTTGGGGCTCCTAAAACCCCTCCTAACACAGCAGCAGCCCCATAGCTGGGCTGGTGACAGCACTGGATGTGTCACAACTACAGCAGAAAAATAAAAAAAACAATTTTCAGGATTATTTACAGGAGCCCCTTAAAGACAACTCAGTGCCTTTGCAGGGAAAGGTGGGAGAAATCCTGGTTGTGCCTCGATTTTTGGGATCTTCCCAAACCACAGTGGCCCAGACTGCTGCAAAGTGGGAAGAAAAGCCACTGCAGTGTCCCCTCAGGTGGTGGGGACAGACACAGGGACAGCGAGGGGGGCTGGCAGGACAGGACATGAGGACGTCCCAGGACAGGACACGAGGATGGCCCAGAGCAGTGGCCAAGGCTCAGCAGTGCCACCGCTGCTGTGGGGCCATTAACTGTCACAGCCAGGCCCTGGCACGGCCACCAGGGCTTGGTGGTCACTCTGGAACGTGGCCACCGGGCCCACATCGGGGTGGTCACTCTGGAATGTGGCGGGATTGTCACTGGAACGTGGCCACCGGGCCCATGGTGGGTTGGTCACTCTGGAACACGGACATTGGGCCCACGGTGGGGTGGTCACTCTGGAATGTGGCCACCGGGCCCACATTGGGGTGGTCACTCTGGAACGTTGCCACCAGGTCCTTGGCGGGGTGGTCACTCTGGAACGTGGCAGGGTGGTCACTCTGCACCATGGTGGGGTGGTCACTCTGGGCCATGGCCACCAGGCCTTTGGTGGTGTGGTCACTCTGGAACGTGGCCACCGGGCCCTTCGCAGGGTGGTCACTCTGGAATGTAGCCACTGGGGCCCCATTGGGGTGGTCACTCTGGAACATGGCAGGGTGGTCACTCTGGAATGTGGCCACTGGGCCCTTGGTGGGATGATCACTCTGGAACGTGGCCACCGGGCCCACATTGGGGTGGTCACTCTGGAATGTAGTGGGGTGGTCACTCTGGACCATGGCAGGATGGTCACTCTGGAATGAGGCCACTGGGCCCACACTGGGGTGGTCACTCTGGAACGTTCTGAGCTCCATGCCAGCCCCGGGGCCGCCGTTCCCCTTGGGCTGGGTCAGGCCCCGGGGTCCCCCCTGGCCGCGGCCGCTGCGGGAGCAGTCGTGGTGGCCGTGGTTGCCCAAGCGGCTGGAGGCCACCACGGCCTTCATGGCAGCCTGGGATGGAGGCAGAGAATCAGGGAATTGTGGAATGATCCGAGGGGATCACCCAGCACAAATCCTGGCCTGGCCTGGGACACCCCAACAATCCCACCTCAACCATCCCCACCTTCAAAATCCCACCCCAACAATCCCTCCCCCACAATCCCATATCCCAAAAATCCTACCCCAAAAAATCCCATACCCACAATCCCACCCCAACAATCCCATCCCAACAATCCTGCCTCCACAATCCCATATCCCAACAATCCATTCCCCACAATCCTATCCCAAAAATCCCATCCCCACAATCCCACCCCCAAAAATCTGGCCCCCACAATCCCATCCCAAAAAATCCCATCCCCACAATCCCAATCATACCCCAACAATCCCATCCCCACAATCCCACTCCAACAATCCCATCCCCACAATCCCACCCCAAAAATCCCATATCCCCACAATTCCATGTCCCAACAATCCCATATCCCCACAATTCCATCCCAAAAATCCCACCCCAACAATCCCACCCCAAACTCCTGCAGCTCTGGCAGCCTCAGATTGAGGAAATTCAATGCCCAGCACCCTTGGGGGAGGAACCTTTCCCTAAAATCCATCCCAAAAATCCCCTGACACTGCTCCAAACTATCCCTTGGGATCCAAGTGGGTGTTGGCAGAGTTCTGCTCTTCCAGGCCATGGAAGGGGACAGTTGTCTGTCCTTTGATTTTTTAAGATTTTCTAAGTTTTTTGATGTTTACATTTTCGTGACAAACTTTTTCACCCACTTTTTGTAAATAACTTCTAATTTTGCATTCTTTTATGGAAGAAGAGGAATTTGATAGGCTGTTGGTTTGTTTCGTGTCATTGGAGAAGGGGCATTTTTACTTTTTAATCCACTGCCACTTTTAGAAATCTATTAATTGTTAGAGGCAGAAAATGAACTTTCCTTTCAGGTGTCCCCTCCCTGTGCTGTCACACGTGTCCCCATCTCACCTTCAGTTTCCTCCTGGCGTTGAATTCCTGCAGTTTCCTCTGCGTGCTGTCCATGTGAGCGAATTTTGCTGCTTTCCCAGTGACCCAGGGGTGCTGCAGGGCCTGGTGAACCGTCAGCCTCTTCTGGGGATCCAAAACGATCAATTTCCTCACCTGAAAGCAGCAAAATCGCCGATTTTTGTTATTTTGTAGTAATTCGCAGTAAAATAAGGGAGATTATAATTAATATGTAACATATAAATCATAAAATCAAGTAAATAATCAAAATAATTGTAATGAATCATAAAATTAAGCATAATAAATCATAAAATCAACAATAAAAAGAAGGAAGAAATAAAGAAAAATAAATAAGAAATAAAATAGAAAGAAATAAAATTAATAATAAAATCAATAATAAAAAACGAAGGGAGGAAGGAAGGAAGGAAGGAAGGAAGGAAGGAAGGAAGAAAATAACATAGAAAGAAATAGAAAATATAAATAGAATGAAGTAAAGTTAATCATAAAATCAATTAAAAAAGGAATAAAGAAAGAAAGAAATAAAAACAGATAAATAAGAAATAAAATAGAAAGAAATAGAAAATAGAAAGAAAATCAATAATAAATTAATTTTTTCTAAAATCAAAATAATAAATTCAATAAATTAATCATAAAATCAATCATTAAAAATAAAAACTAAATAAACGAAATTAAAGAAAGCAAGAGTGCATCATAATAAAGAAAGAAATAAATAATAAATTCACATAAAAAATAAAACATTAATAGAAATGTGGGGGAAATAAATAAATTTAATTAGATAAATATATGCAGAAAATACATTAAAATAAAATAATGAAATGCAAGAAATAAAAAAAATATGTGGTTAATAAATGAAAAGATATAAACAAAAGCAATAAATAGATAAAAATAAAATCATAAAAGAAGTGAAACCAATAATGAAAATAGTGATAAATAAATAAATGGAAATTTGACATAAACACATAAACATAAAATCATAAATAAATACATCAATAATAAAATGTGATAGATAAAAAAAGAGAATTAAAGAAATTAATAAATAAATGGAAAAAAATGAAATCATAAAAGAAACAATCACAATGTTATAAATAAATACAGTAATTAATAAATAAAGGGATCAAAATGAAATCATAAAAGAAATCATAAACATGTGGAGGAAATAAATAAAACCGAATAAATAAATAAATAAAAATAATGTAGGGAAAGGAAAAGGGAAGAAGAGAAGAGAAGAGAAGAGAAGAGAAGAGAAGAGAAGAGAAGAGAAGAGAAGAGAAGTAAAATAAAATAAAGGGACATAAAATAAAATAAATAAGATAAAAATATATTATAATAAAATATATTATAATAAAATATACTAGAATAAAATATATTAAAATAAAAAAAAAAAAAAAAAAAAAGTTACAGTTTCCCAAGCCCAGCGCTGCCGCACTCACCAAGTCCTTGGCGTTTGGGGACACCTCGTCCCACCAGGGGGACACGAACTCGTAGTCGCAGGTGAGGATGCGGCCGTACATGTACTGATCCCCCCGCGGGTCAAAGAAGGGCTCGAAGCCACAGAGCCTGGGGGGACAGAGCCGTGGGACAGGTGGGACAAACCCTGCCACCCCCACTGTCACTGTCACACCCTCTGGAACATCCCTAACCCAGCATTTCCTCTCCTGGGAAGCTGAGAAGCCTCAGAGAAAATGAAAACAATAATTGTCTGATTGCTTCTCCTGTGGTTTGCTGCCCTGGGATGTGGCTGGAGATTGTTTAGCAATTAGTCATTGTTTGATTGGTTTCATGTGAATTGTTTTTGCTTAATGACCAATCACAGCCAGCTGTGTCAGAACTCTGGAAAAAAGTGTCAGGTTTTCATTATCATTCTTGTTAAGCTTTCTGATGTATCCTTTCTCTATTCTTTCATATTGTTTTAGTATAATGTAATGTAATATAATATAATATAATATAATATAATATAATATAATATAATATATAAATTTATAATATAATATTATATATATCGCAATATATATTTCTATTATATATACTATAATAGATGATTCTAATATATTATAAAATTATTATATTTTATAATTATAATTTATTAAAATTTTATTAACATATGATTGATAATTTAATTTATATAATTAAATTATTATAAGTTTATAATTAAGTTTATCACTAGGATTAAATTATAATTTGTTATCATTTAATCATAATAATGTTATAATTAATTATAATATTATAATTATAGTATATGCTATGATATATTTAATATAATATATGTTTATAATATAATATTGTATATACTATTATATTATATACTATTATATGCCATTATATACTACTATACTATATACTATTATATACTATACTATACTATTATATACTATTATATACTATTATATTATATACTATTATATACTATTATATACTATTATGTTATATTATATTATATTATATTATATTATATTATATTATATTATATTATATTCCTTCTAAAAACATAGAGTCAAATTCCCTAATTTCCTCTTTCGTCCTGGAGACCCTGTGAATTCAACACCCCCCAGCAGGGACAGAGGGGACAAAGCCCCCCCTGCTGTGTCCCCTGGCTGTGACACTCACAGGATGTAGGTGATGACCCCCACGCTCCACATGTCCACCTCTGGTCCATAGGGACACCCGTGCAGGATTTCGGGGGCTGGAAGGAAAATTTGGTGGTCAAAAATACCCATGGGGGAGTCCCAGTGGAGAAAACTCTGCTGGGCACCAACAGGTGTGGAGAAAGGGAGATAAATGGGGAGAAAGGGAGATAAATGGGGAGATAAATGGGGAGATAAATGGGGAGAAAAAGGGATAAATGTGGAGGAAAGGGGATAAAGGAGGAGGAAAGGGGATAAATTTGGCTCTGTGCCACCCAAATGTGGCACAACCCCAGCTATTCCTGCACTGAGCTGTGCCCAGCCTCAGGTGGGGAAAACCCCCTGGAATGTCCCTCCCATCCCAATTTTCCTCTCCCAAAATGTCCCTCCTTTCTCCCACCCCAATTTTCCTCTCCCCAAAATGTCCCTCCATCCTTCCCACCTCAATCTTCCTTTCCCCACCATGTCCCTCCATCCCTCCCACCCCAATTTTCCTCTCCCCTAAATGCCCCTCTCTCCCTCGCCCCAATTTTCCTGTCCCCACAATATTCCTTCATCCCTCCCACCCCAATTTTCCTCTCCCAGAATGTCCCTCCCTCTCTCTTCCACCCCAATTTTCCCTCCCTCTCTTCTACCCCAGTTTTCCTGTCCTCAAAATGTCCCTCCTTTCTTCCACCCCAATTTCCTCTCCCCACAATGTCCCTCTCTCCCTCTCTCCCCAAAATGTCTCTCCCTCTTTCTCACCCCAATTTCCCTCTCCCCACAATGTCCCTCTATCCCTCCCACCCCAATTTCCCTCTCCCCACAATGTCCCTCCATCCCTCCCACCCCAATTTTCCTCTCCCAAAATGTCCCTCCCTTGCCAATTTTCTTCTCCCCAAAAGGTCTCTCCCTTGTTCCCACCCTGATTTTCCTGTCCCCAAAATATCCCTCCCTCCCTCCCCAATTTTCCTCTCCCCACAATGTCCCTCCCTGTCTCCCATCCCAACTTTACTGTCCCCAGACTGTCCCTCCCTCTTTCCCACCCCAATTTTCTTGTCCCTACAATGTCCCTCCATCTTTCCCACCCAAATTTTCCTGTCCCCAAAATATCCCTCCCTCTTTCCCACCCCAATTTTCCTCTCACCAAAATGTCCCTCCATCCCTCCCACCCCAATTTTCCTGTCCCCCTCCCCTCTCACCGCAGTACCCCGGTGTCCCACACACGGTTTTCATGGTGTCCTGTTCATCCACGATCTTGGAGAGCCCAAAGTCACCTTGCAGGGACACAAGGGAGTGGCAGTGCCATCAGGGAGGGGCACTGGTACCCCCCCTCATGCCAGGACCCCTGGCCAGGTCCCCAACCCACCGATTTTGAGGGGTGCATCGGGGGACAGGTCAGCATAGAGCAGATTCTCCGGCTTCAGGTCCCGGTGCACGACCCCATTCTCGTGCAAATACTGCAAAAAAAAGGAAAAGTGGGGTGTGAAAAGGAAGTGAATGGCCTCAGACAGAAATTGGGAGGTGACAGCAGCGATTGGGGACCTGTCACAAACTCGGGACCAGCTCAGGAACAGTCACCACTGTGGTAAATCCATTTCCAGTCAGAATTTCCTGGTTTTTAAACCCTCCTGTTGCCATGGAAACTGTGGGATGCAGAGCAGCCCTGACCTTCCTCCTTCCTCCTCTCCATCACCTCTGAGAGCAGATCCATCTTCTCCCAGTGGTGCCTTTGGAAGGGCAAGGGTGAGTGGAGAAATGAAGTGTTTGGGATGGGGGCAGCTCTGGGTGCCTCTGCCCAGGGATATTTGGGATGGGAGCAGATCCAGGAACTTCTCCTCAGGGATATTTGGGATGGGGGCAGCTCCAGGAATTTCTCTGGGAATTTTTTTAACTTTTTGCTGCACTCGATCAGTGCAGCTCCAGGCACTTCTTCCCAGGGATATTTGGGATCAGGGCAGCCCTAGATGCTTCTCCCCAGGGATATTTGGGATGGGGGCAGCTCCAGGCACTTCTCCTCAGGGATATTTGGGATCAGTACAGCTCCAGGTACTTCTCCTCAGGGACATTTGGGATGGGGGCATGTCCAGGTGCTTCTCCTCAGAGACATTTGGGATCAGTGCAGCTCCAGGCCCTTTTCTCCAGGATTATTTGGGATGGGGACAGCTCTGGTGCCTCCCTCCAGGGATATTTGGGATCAGTGCAGCTCCAGATGCCTCTCCTCAGGGATATTTGGGATGGGGACAGATCCAGGAACTTCTCCCCAGGGATATTTGGGATGGGGAGCATCTCCAGGCATTTCTCAGGGATATTTGGGATCAGTGCTGACAGCGCATCTCCAGGCCCTTCTCCCCAGGGATATTTGGGATCAGCGCAGCTCTGGGTGCTTCTCCCCAGGGATATTTGGGATGGGGACAGCTCCAGGCCCTTCTCCCCAGGGATATTTGTGATGGGGGCAGCTCTGGGTGCTTCTCCTCAGGGATATTTGGGATCAGTGCAGCTCCAGGTGCCTCTCCTGAGGGATATTTAGGATCAATGCAGCCCCAGACCCTTCTCCTCAGGGATATTTGGGATCAGTGCAGCTCGGGGCCCTTTTCCTCAGGAATATTTGTGATGGGGGCAGCTCTGGGTGCTTCTCCTCAGGGATATTTGGGATGGGGGGCATCTCCAGGCATTTCTCAGGGATATTTGGGATCAGTGCTGACAGTGCATCTCCAGGCCCTTCTCCCCAGGGATATTTGGCACAGGGACAGCTCCAGGCCCTTCTCCCCAGGGATATTTGGGATGGGAGCAGCTCCAGGCCCCTCTCCCCAGGGATATTTGGCTGCAGCCCCCTCAGTACCACCCCATCCCCATTACCGAAACAGCCTCCAGGATCTGCTTGACCACGTGCGCCGCGTCCCTCTCGCTGTAGAACCCCCTCTCCACGATCCTGCGGGCACACGGAGCCTTCAGCCCCCTCCATCCTCCTCCTCCTCCTCCTCCTCCCCCTCCCAGGATCCGTCCCCTGGTGCTGATCCTCACCTGTCAAAGAGTTCTCCTCCCGTCACCAGCTCCAGCACCAGCGCGATCTCCGAGGGCGTCTCGAAAATCTCCTTCAGCTTGATCTGGGAAAATGGATAAAGATGAAATAATAAAAGAAACAATCACAATGTTATAAATTAATAAAGTAATTAATAAATAAAGGGATAAAAATGAAATCATAAAATAAATTGTTCTGGGAAATGGATAAAAATAAGATCATAAAAGAAACAACCACGATGATATAAATAAATAAAGTAATTAATAAATAAAGTAATTAATAAATAAAGGGATAAAAAATGAAATCGTAAAAGAAATCATACCCATATGGAGGAAATAAATAAATAAATAAATAAATAAAATTAATAAATAAAATTAATAAAACTGGAAAATTGATAAAAATGACATCATAAAAGAAACAATCACAATGTCATAAATAAACAAAGTAATAAATAAAGGGATATAAATTAAATCATAAAAGAAATCATACTCATATGGAGGTAATAAATAAATAAAATAATACTGGAAAATAGATAAAAATGAGATTATAAAAGAAACAATCACAATGTTATAAATAAAGTAATTAATAAAGGGATACATATGAAATCATAAAAGAAATCATACCCATAAGGAGGAAAATAATTAAATAAATAAAATAAAATAAAGCTGGAAAATTGATAAAAATGTGACCATGAAAGAAACAATCACAATGTTATAAATAAATAAAGTAATTAATTAATAAAGGCATTAAAAATGAAATCATAAAAGAAATCATACCCATATGGAGGAAATAAATAAAACTGAATAAATTAATAAATAAAAATAAAGTAAGGGAAAATAAAAAAGAAAAGAAAGAAAAGAAAGAAGGGAAGGGAAGGGTGACAGAAGGGATTTAGGGATGTGGAATGCAGGATATGGGATGTGGGATGCAGTGTGGTATTTTCTGGGGTCACCCATCAAGGGGGGGAAATGATGAATCTGACTCCATGTCCTTAGAAGGCTAATTTATTATTTTATAGTATTATATTCTATTAAAAATGCTATACTAAAACTGTACTAAAGAATAGAGAAAGGATACTTACAGAAGGTTTAACATAAAACTGTGACTCTCCAGAGTCCTGACACAGCCTGACCATGATTTGTCATTAAATAAAAACAATTCCCATGTTGGACAACCAATCTCCAACCACATTCCAAAGCAGCAAAACGCAGGAGAAGCAACCAGATAATTTTTGTTTTCATTTTTCTCTGAGCTTCCCAAGAGAGGAAATCCTGGCTGAAGGGATTTTTCCAGAAAATGTGACAGTGCCAACGCAGGAATGCTGTGCTGGGAGGAGACTTTGACCACCAGGGAGGGTGGAAAGGGTCATTTCAGAGCAAACATTTCCTTCCTCTGTTTGCTTGGTTTTTCTTGATTTGTTTTCACCTGAATTTTTTAAAATTTTTTCGCAGCAGCCTCACTCACTTAACATGGATTGAAGCTGAACGTGGGAATGTGCAGAGCCTTGATTGTCTTCTCATTTCTGAGCTTGTTTGGCAGAGAACATTGGAATTTTGGAGGTCTGTGGGCACCTCAAATCCTCCATCCAGCCCTGTGGAGTAACTCCAGCTGCATCCCATGGGATGGATCCTGGTCCTGCACACCCGGGAGGGGATGGATCCTGCACACCTGAATGGATCCTGGTCCTGCACACCTGGATGGATCCTGATCCTGCACATCTGGGATGAATCCTGATCCTGCACACCTGGATGGATCCTGGTCCTGCACATCTGGGATGAATCCTGATCCTGCACACCTGGATGGATCCTGATCCTGCACACCCGGGAGGGGATGGATCCTGCACACCTGGATGGATCCTGGTCCTGCACACCTGGGATGGGATGGATCCTGTTCCCGCACACCTGGGATGGATCCTGGTCCTGCACACCTGGATGGATCCTGATCCTGCACATCTGGGATGGATCCTGATCCTGCACATCTGGATGGATCCTGGTCCTGCACACCTGGATGGATCCTGATCCTGCACATCTGGGATGGATCCTGATCCTGCACATCTGGATGGATCCTGGTCCTGCACACCTGGATGGATCCTGATCCTGCACATCTGGGATGGATCCTGATCCTGCACATCTGGATGGATCCTGGTCCTGCACACCTGGATGGATCCTGATCCTGCACATCTGGGATGGATCCTGATCCTGCACATCTGGATGGATCCTGGTCCTGCACACCTGGATGGATCCTGGTCCTGCACACCTGGGATGGGATGGATCCTGCACACCTGGGATGGGATGGATCCTGTTCCCGCACACCTGGATGGATCCTGTTCCTGCACACCTGGGATGGGATGGATCCTGTTCCCGCACACCTGGGATGGATCCTGGTCCTGCACATCTGGATGAATCCTGGTCCTGCACACCTGGGATGGATCCTGATCCTGCACCCCTGGGATGGGATGGATCCTGTTCCCGCACACCTGGGATGGGATGGATCCTGCACACCTGGGATGGATCCTGGTCCTGCACACCTGGGAGGGGATGAAGGAGAGCCAGACGCACCCTGTGGGGTCACAGCCACTCTGGGATCAAGGCCCTGAAAATGTCCTGCAGCAGAAGAGGCACCAAACCCTCGTTTTCCTCCTGACATTTTGTGATTCAGTTCCCTTTGTGCCTCCACAGCCCATCTGGAATTAACAATTCCCTCTTAAAGCAACATCCAAATGCAATTTTTTTCATTTTTTTCCCCCCATTTTTTATTATTTTTTTTTTAATAGAAACCCAAGAATTTCATGCTTCTTAAGACTTTTGTGACACTGCGAATTTCATGGGGCTTTAATCATTCCCTTCCCAGGCTGGGTGACAAGCCTTGATCCCCCGCGGGGTGAGAGACACTATGCGGCAGCTTATTGCATTATAATAATACACAGAGCACTATAATTTTCCTATTAACTTCAAAAGTTTACAATCCTATTATCAGCCTCTGCCGAGGTCGGTGCTGCACGATAGCAGCAAATAATGGGGCAGAGCAGCTCCTCTTCAAACATCTCTTGAACCTGGGGATGAGCAGAACCCCATGGAAACCTCGGGGATTTAAATATTCCAACAGGATGGATCCTCCTCTGTGCTTTAAGGAGAGGGGAGGGTGAAAATTGGATTTTCTGTGGTGTTCCTGATAACACATCAGAGAGGAGCCTCTTCCCACCCACCTGGGCTGCCCCAGGTGTGTGATTCCCATCCCTGTGTCTGTCCAGATGTGCTGGGATGGGGGAAATGTCTCCATGGAAGAAGCTGAAGCACCAAATTGTCCCAAAACCACTGAAACACCCCAAAACAGGCTGAGAGTTTTAGAGACAACCTGTCCCCAGCGCTTTGGCCTCTTTATCTCTGTTTTTGGGATCTTTGGGATTTCTCTTGGCTTCATCTCTTGGCGTGAAGGTTCTGGGTTTCTCCAGAGAGCAAAACTCCGAGGATGGGCCGGGAGCAGCCGTGCCCAGGATTTGAGGGGTGCTGCAGACACTGGCAAGACAATGTCCAACAATGTCCCAGTGATGTCCTGACAATGTCCAATGATGTCCCAGTGATGTCCCAACGATGTCCCAGCGATGTCCTGATCACAATCCCAACGGGAGCAGGGCCTCTCCCACCCCTCAGCCCCACAGCAGCTCCCAGGTGTTTTTTTTCTGTCTCATTCCCTTAACTCAGGTGTTCTCCAAGCTCCTTTTGCAGTTTCCCCACAGGAACCATGCAGTCGGGAACGAGCCTTTTTTGGGGGGGCCCCTGGCATTCCAGAGGGGCTCTGCTGGATTAGATCAGCTCCAGCCCTGCTCCTGTTATCCCTGCCGTGCTGAGTGAGCAGGACACAGCCCCAGCCCTGCAGCCCTGGCCTCCCTTTTATCTCTGGGGCAGGATATTTTCCAGCCTGGCATTTTCCCCTGGGATTCATTTGATCTCCTCGATGGAAATTGAGGTGGAAATCTCAAGCCAGGGTGTGGGAAGGGGGAGGACAGGGGGGTCCTCACCCTTGGATATCAGAGCTGGGAGCTCAAAGGAGCTGCAAGGGGCAGGAATTTCATGTGGCAGAGAGAGGGGCATCACCTGGATGCTGTGAGTGAGGCAGGGAGGGATCAGGGGGCACAGGGAGGGATCAGGGGGTGCAGGAAAGGTTTTCCATGGGGTGACGCCTTCATTTTACGCCAAGACAGGATGAGAACAAGGATATTCCAGCCCTTCCTGCAGCACCAGGGTGAATTAAGGGTGCAAACCCACCCCCAGCAGCCAAAAGGAGGTGGCAGCAGTGTCCCCAGGGCCCTACTCACGATGTTGGGGTGCGAGAGGCGCAGCAGGACCCCGATCTCCGTCCTCACAATCTTCTTGTCAATCTGGGAATCGACGGAAATTAATTGATTTTTTTAACTGTGTGGCACAGATCTTGTGTCACCTGCGCTGCCAGGCCTGGCTCTGCCTCCCCACATCACACCCAGCACATTTCACATCTGTTCCAGAGCCCACCCCACCCAAATCCCACTTTTGTCCATGTGGGACCCCCAGACTGTGGGAGCCATGCCCAGTGCCAGCCCCATGCCCATCCTGGTGCCAATGGGGAAGGAAGGAGAGACACCAGCACCCTCTCCCCAGCTCCCTGATGCCCCCCTTCCCATCCCCAGCCCCTCTCACCGTTTTCTTCAGGATCTTGGCAGCGTAGGGAGCTCCCGTGCCCTTCTCCTGGCAGCTGAACACCACCGAGGTGGCTCCCCTGGAGGGCAGAGGGGCGTGAGGCTGGCACAGAGCTGGGGCTCCCGCTCCCCCTGTGCCCCCCAGCAGCACCTTTGGCAGTGCCAGGCCCTGGGAGCTCAGCGTGGGTTCATTCATTCCACTCTTCACGGATCCTGCTTTTCATGGATCCCCCTCCTCCTGCATCCCCCTATTCCTGAATTCCCTTCCTGTACCCCTCCCCTTCATCCCCACCCCTTCATCCTCCTCCTGCATCCCCCAATTTCTGATTTCCCCTCCTGTACCCCTCTCCTTCGTCCCCACCTTCCCTTCCTCCTGCATCCCCAAATTCCTGAATTCCTCCCTGTACCACTCCCCTTCATCCCCACCCCACATCCCCGTCCTCCTGCATCCCCCAAATCCTGAATTCTCCTCCTGTTCTCTTCTAATTCAGCCCCACATTCTTTTCCTCCTGCATCCCCAAATTCCTGAATTCCCCTCGTGAACCCCTCCCCTTCATACCTGCATCCCCAATTCCTGAATTCCCCCCTTGTACCCCCTCTCCTTCATCCCCACATTCTTTTCCTCCTGCATCCCCCCAATCCCTGAATTCCCTTCTTGTACCCCTGTCCTTCATCCTCACCCCACACTCTCCCCCAATTCCTGAATTCCTCTCCTGAACCCGTCCCCTTCATCCCCTTCCTGCATCTCCCAATTCCTGAATTCCCCCAATTCCTGCATTCCCCTCTCCTTCATCCCGACCCCCCCTTCATCCTGATGCCTCCCTCTCCCGCGCCCATCCCGGCTTTCCAAGCCCATTTTAATTAAACCCGACTCCTACAGGGGGTTTAAATCCTTAAGCTGCTTTCACCACGGGACGGAGCCGCCACGTCCCCGCTCGCTCGCAGCCCCTCGGCGACAGCGGCGACACCGCCGGGGCTCCATCCCAGCCCGTCCCGACACCAGACACCGCCAGGTGACACCGCCAGGTGACACCGGCACCGCCACCGCAGCCCATGGCGATCTCAGCTCGGGTTAATCGCGTTTCCCGAGCGCTGGACGGTGAAATCATCCCAGGGGCTCATTTACAATTCCATCTCTCCCTGCCCGGCTCCTGCAGCAGATTAATTCCTGCCCCCGAGCCATCGGCCGCGTTTCACCGCACTTTGGCTCCGCCGCCTCGTGGGACGGAGCTCAGGCTGTGCCCGGAGGTGCCCGGCAAGATCAGACCCCAAAATCAGCGATTTTCACACCAAAACCTCCCCTGAGCGCACCGACATCCCCGCAGGCAGCTCCCGGGTGCTCTCCTGAATGAGGGATTTGTCTCCAAACCCAGAGCAGATTTTGCATCACCCTCATCCGGCTGAACTTGGGAACGGCGTTCCCATGGCAACTGCAGCGCTGGGTACCACTCCGGGATGCTGCGGGATCCAACCCTGCCCGGCTCCAAAATTTCCTCTCTTTTGCCAAACATCCTCCAGCAAACTTCATTTTACAATTAAAAACTGATTTGGAAACGAATTGGGACAGGAGGGGAGGAGCGGCCACCACCTGCTGCAGCTCAGGAAAAAGGGCAAAAAGCTGCAATTTGACCCCAAAATGGCATCGCTGCTGCTGCTGTGACAGCCACAACAACGCCAGGAGGTTATCCTTGGAATTTCCCAGCTTGTTTGATTTAAATCTGTTTGATTTAAATCTGGTGCTGGAACTGGATGGATGGATGGATGGATGGATGGATGGATGGATGGATGGATGATGGATGGATGGATGGATGGATGGATGGATGGATGGATGGATGGATGATGGATGGATGGATTTGGAAACAAATTGGGACAGGAGGGGAGGAGCGGCCACCACCTGCTGCAGCTCAGGAAAAAGGGCAAAAAGCTGCAATTTGACCCCAAAATGGCATCGCTGCTGCTGTGACCGCCACAACAACGCCACGAGGTTAATCTTGGAATTGGAATTTCCCAGCTGTGCTGGACACTGGGCAGGACCCTCCATCCCTTCTCCAGAGCTGAATCCCAGCCAGGATCTGTCGCCTCTCACATTTTTTCCGCACGGCCAATTCGCAGCCCGATTCCCGGCGCTAACGAGCTCGTTTAGGAGCGCTCGGCTCGGCGTTTAGGAGGGCTCGGGGTGGCTCCTGTGCCCGCTGTGCCCGCGGCGCTGCCCCTCACGCGTCCCCAATTATTGCAGCGCTCGGAATTCGCCACGCCTCGGCCCCGCAGCCGCCAATAAATATCCCAAATCAGCCTTGCCCGCCACGGGAGATAATTGCATTTGCTTTCCAGATGAACTGGAAAATGTCGAGCGATGGGGTTTGCCGAGAGAGCCTGGAATGCGCGGCTGGGAGCGGCCCCGGGCTGGGTCCTCCCCTCTCCATCCCTTTCCTGCTCCATGGGGATTCCTGGCTGGATCTGGGTCCAGTCTTGGCAGGGAAGGCTCTGAGGGAGAGCTGTGCATGCAGAGTGGGCTCCCAGCAGCCCAAATCCCACCACGCTGTGAGTTTGATTTAAATCTGGTGCTGGAACTGGATGGAGGATGGATGGATGGATGGAGGATGGATGGATGGAGGGATGGATGGATGGATGGATGGATGATGGATGGATGGATGGATGATGGATGGATGGATGGATGATGGATGGATGGATGGATGGATGGATGGATGGATGGATGATGGATGGATGGATGGATGGATGGATGGATGGAGGATGGATGGATGGATGGATGGATGGATGGATGGATGGATGATGGATGGATGGATTCCAGGGGCCCCAGGCCTGTCCTTCTCTCCTACATCCCTCTGTGCAAGGCTGGGTGCTGCCCAAGCCCTGGGCTGATGTGGCCACACCTTGATACAAACCCTTAAATTCCCGCTTTCACCAAAACTGCTGCTTTTCAGTATTCTGAGCCACCCAGCCTGAGCCACCAAATCCCCCTGTTCTGAGCCAGGGCTCTGAGGCAGAGCTGCCTCCCCCCATGGCACAGCCCAGAGCCCCCACACATGGTATCATCAACCTTCCCAGCACGGCCTCCTGGCACCCCTGGAGGGATCACAGCCCTCAGATGGGCTCTCCAAGCCAAACCCAGAGCTGGGAATTCAGAATCTGGCACTTTGCAGGGGGCTGCAGCAGGCAGGACCCTCATTGCCCACACCCAAAGCTTTGGGGTGCTCAGAGGAGAGATGGGTGTCCCCATGATCCCACTGCCATGGACATGAGGGGCATCCATCTCCACAGGCCCAGGGACCCCTGATCCAACCTGCAAACCCCCAGTGAGCTCTGCCAGACCCTTCCTGCAGTGTCACAGCACAGGCCAGGGCCAGGTCACACCAGAGGGGAGGGTCTGTCAGCATCCACCCCCTTACCCATCCTTCCACAGCCCTTCTACATCCTGCTTGTCCAGCCCTTCATCCATCCCTCCATCCATCCCTCCATCCATCCATCCATCCCTCCATCCATCCATCCATCCATCCATCCATCCATCCATCCCTCCATCCATCCATCCATCCATCCATCCATCCCTCCATCCATCCATCCATCCATCCATCCATCCATCCATCCCTCCATCCATCCATCCTCCATCCATCCATCCATCCATCCATCCCTCCATCCCTCCATCCATCCATCTCCTTCATATCTGTCCCTCCCTTCCCGCATCCTTTCCTGCATCCCTTCACCCCCCATTTCCTCTCATCCACCCCCCCCAAATCCTTCATCTCCCCCAATCCATCCCCTCTGTATTCCTCACCCCTCCCCACATCCCTCCATCCCTCCCCACATCCCTCCATCCCTCCTGCTTCCCTCCATCCCCCCCTGCCCCATCCAGGACCCTCTCCTGCCCCTCCCAGCCCCTCCCCGCTCGCTCTCCCCGCCCGGTACCGTCCCAGCTCGGGCCCCACGACGTAGAAATCTTCCAGTGCCGCCTCCCGGTGGGATCCATCGATCCAGAACTCGCTCTCGCCCTCGCTCTTGGACGTCGGCATGGTGGGCTGGGGGCTGCCAGCTGCCTGCAGCTGCTGGCGAGGCAAAGGGGAGCCCCCGGCATGGATGGGCGCCTCACCCGCACCCAAATCCCCGCCGCGCCTCCCGCAGAGCCCAGATGGCTCGGGAAAAACCAGCGCTGGGGATTATCGAGCGCCGCGGAACCACAAATCCCCTTCCCACCCGGCACGTACGATGCTTTTCCCGAGATAATTCCTTCCCCCTGCTCTGAGATGTTTCCCCCCCTCCCGGTTTTTTCCATCACCCCCTCCCCCTTTTCCCACCTGTTTGGGTCCCCCCCCGGCTTTGCAGCCTCCTCCAGCCCCTCCGCACGCCCCACGGTAATTTTGGGGTGGGGTCGTGGCCCGGCACGTACCATTACCTGCGGTGCCGCCTCATCCCCGCCGCGGGGCGGCCGTGCCGAGGGTGGGCACGGGGGGTCCCGAGCCCGCGGCTCCGGGGCTGAGCCTGCCCGAGGGCCCTCCCGGTGCTCCCCGAACCGGGGCGTCACGGCTCAGATCTTCGGGGGGGCTTCAGGGGGCTGGGAGGGTGCGGGGATGGGAAGATGGAGGGAGAAAGGATGCGGGGATGGGAGGATGGAGGGATGGGAGGATGGAGGGATGGAGGACTCGGGAATAGAGGGATGCAGGGATGGGAGGATGGAGAGAGCAGGGACGGGAGGATGGAGAGATGCAGGGATGGGAGAACTCGGGAATTGAGGGATGCAGGGATGGAAGGATGGAGGGATGCAGGGATGGGATAATGGAGGGATGCAGGGATGGGAGGATAGAGAGAGCAGGGATGGGAGGATGCCGGCCAGCACGGATGCAGCTGCCACGATGCCGGGCTGGGAGGATGCAGGGATGCCGGGACGGGATGGAAGGATTCAGGGACGCCGGGATGGAAGGATTCAGGGACGCCGGGACACCGGGCAGCACCGGGAGGCGGCGGTGCGAGGCTGCCGGGAAGCGGGAGCGCAGCGCTGCAGGGAGAGAGGAAGATGAGGATGCTGGGCCGGGGCTGCGGAGCACCGGGACCCTCCCCGGCAGCATCAGCGGCTCCCGCCTGGCTCGGCCGTGCCACCCCCCGGCCCGGCGCCGCCACTGCACCCCCCCCGAGCCCCCCCGGGGCTACGGGACCCGCGCGGTGCTCGGGGGGAGCCCGGGCGGCCCCGAACCCCCGCCCGCACCGGCAGAACCGGCCCCGCTTCGGGGAGCACCGGAACCCCCCCGGGGCCGCGGCCCCCATCCCGCCCCGCACGCACCGGGGCCGCGCTGTGCCCCACCCCGAGCAGCCGGAACCGGGAACCCCCCCCCCCCCCTCTCCCGGTGTCGGGGGGCGCGGGCGCTGCCCGGAGCCGCCGCACGGTGACGCCGTCGCCCACCGGATGGGAACGGGGGGGGCGGGGGGGAAACGGGAGGGTGGGAGGGGACGGGGCGGGGATGGGATTGGGATTGGAGAGGGATTGAGGTACGGGGCTGGGCCGGGAATGGGTTGGGGATGGTGGGAATGGAACTGGGAGGGCCACTGGGAATAGCACTGGGAATGGTGGGAATGGCACTGGGAATGGTGGGAATGGCACTGGGAGTGGCACTGGGAATAGCACTGGGAATGGTAGGAATGGTACTGGGAGTGGCACTGGGAATGGAATTGGGAGTGGCGCTGGGAATGGTACTGGGAATGGAACTGGGAATGGTGGGGATGGTACTGGGAATGGAACTGGGAATGGCACTGGGAATGGTGGGAAAGAGATTGGGAATGGCACTGGGAATGGCACAGGGAATGGTGAGAATGGAACTGGGAATGGCACTGGGAATGGTGGGAATGGCACTGGGAATGGTGGGAATGGCACAGGGAATGGTGAGAATGGAACTGGGAATGGCACTGGGAATGGTGGGAATGGCACTGGGAATGGTGAGAATGGAACTGGGAATGGCACTGGGAATGGCACTGGGAATGGTGGGGCCCAGCTGGAGGAGGAGGATGAACAGTGGAGGTAAAGGGTGAGATGGGATCAGGGGATCAGGCATGAGTGGGTTCAGGGTGGGATTGCGATTGGGAGTGGTGTCTGGAACAGGGAATGGAGATGGGATGAGATAGGGCAGGGCTGGGACTGAGATTGGGATGAGAGTGAGGATGGGATTGGGTTGGGATGGGGTCAGGGATGAGATGGAAATGGGGATGGGATGGGAAGGGCCGGGGTGAGACTTGGATTGGGATTGGGGCCAGGAACAGAATCAGAATGGACACAGGATTAGAGAAGGAGATGGGATGGGGCCAGGGATGGGATGGGATGGAACTGTGGGGATGGAACAGGTCCAGGAATGGGGTGGCAGTGAAGATAGGGCTGGGAAAAGGACAGGAATGAGGCTGGAATGGGGCCAGGAACTGAGTGGGAGTGGGGATGGGGTTGGGGTACTGCTGTCCCTGTGTCTGGGGCCACCCACACTGTCAGGGAGTGTTGTGTTCCCCATGGCAAGGGGAGCAGAAAATCCCTCCTGAACATCCAAGGCAAGGAAACAACAGATTTTCATGTTTTTCTATTAAGAATTAGAAATAAGGAGAGCATCCCATAGGACAGTGACCCTCCAGTGGGACTGAGGGGCAGACAGGCCCTGAGGATGCTTCAGCCCCCCCCAGATCCCTCAGCACAAACAGGAGACCCCCCAAAAGGCCCCGCCATGAAGGTCTCACCAGCAGGAAACATTCTCCTTGTCATGGGCTCCCCAAGTATTTATTAGAATATTTTATCATATCTGAGGGAGGCAAACTCAGCCCTGCTTGATCTCCTCCAGTTGCAACTCCCTTTTGAAAGGGATGTTCTCCGTGCAGGGAGTGACCTGCTCCATGAATAAATTGACTCTGCCTCCGTTCTCTCCCTGCCCTGCAATGTTGTGGAGACAAGGGTGGGCTGCAGAGGCTGCTTGGCATAATTAATATTTATCACAAGAACAATCCCCCCCCCACGTTCATCCCCAAAGAGTGGGGGGCTGCCTTGGCAGCTCCTTCCCTTTGGAAATCTCATAATTGGGATGTTAATGAGAGGTCCAACCCCTCCTGGCACCCACAGACACCCGTGGGTGGGCACGGGATGGACAGAGGGAAATGGGGGTGGGAATGGGGCGTCCCCCGACCCCTGCACACCCCAAAACCCCCATGAGGCGAGGGATACCCTTTGCAGGAGCTGTCCCCAGCCCTAGGACATGTCCCTAAGGTGCAGATCCAGCTGCTGGCAGCAGGAATTGCCCCATTCCCTGCCGGGCTGGTGGGGCGCTGGGGCTGGATCCGCGCCTCCAGCCTTTTGTCTGCGGGAGAGGAATTAATTATTTTGTTCTCTCATTACCCCGGACTAAAAAATCCATTTCTGAGCGGCATAAATTTCGGTGCCTGAAGTGGCTATTTTAACATCCCGGGAAACATTTCTCTCCCTCCCTCGCCCTTTTCCCAATCATTTCTGTCTCATTGGCAGCCATCGACGTTCCGGATGAAGCACAAGATGGAGGGACATTATCCAAACCCGGCAAAACGGCCTTTTCTGGGTGGAAAATGGGATGGAGAGGCTGAAATGGGGTCCACATGGTCCCCCCAAACCCCTCAGGCTGGGGGTCTGGTGCAAAGAGACAGCGGAGTCTGAGAGCGGCCCCACCAGGGACGTGTGCTGCTCAATTGTTTGGAACATAAAATGGAAATTAATACATGGGGCGACCCCCCCACGGCATCCCCCCCTTCCCCCCAGCGCCGCTCGCCTCGTTAATTGAACGGCGCGAAGCAAATGAGGTCAGAGCTCACTTGAGCCAGACAAGGACACGGGAACACGCGAGACAGGGCTGTACCTGCCCATGTTTAGCATTCCTGCCGGGATCCGCTCATTAAAAACCTAAAAGGCGGCTTAAGCATCCCATTAGAGCCGAGCCGGGCTCCGCAGCCTTCCCTCGCTGAGGTTTGCGGGGAGAGCCGGGTACGGGGAGGGGGTTTGCGGTTCCTGCCCCATTGCCGGCTCTTTGGGGGGCTTTGGAGGTTTTTTGGGGGGTTCCAGGGGCAGGAGAGGCGCTGGAGCATCCCAAACCCCGTGCCTGGGTCAGGCTCCTGCTGCTGGGGACACCCAGGGCCAGCCTTGCTCCATCATCCCCGTTCTTTCCAAGGAGATTCCCTCAGTGGAGCTTTGGGAACAGCTCCCACGCCGTGCCTCAGTTTCCCCAGCTCGGGCAGGGCCTTGGCTGTGGGTGCTGAGCGTTCCCATTTTCCAGGTGTCCCCAGGAATGTTCCTGGCTCCATCCCCAGCTCTGGGGTCAGGCCCTGCAGGTGCTGCCCCAGCCCTGCCTGGCCATGGATTTTGGGATTTTGGAATTTTGGGATTTTTTCACCAGGATTTTGGGAAGAGGATCCTGTGGGACCCCTCCCAGTGTCCCCTCACCCAGGACAACCCAAGGGGCTCCGTGCCAGGGCTGTGGGCACCGAGCCCATGGGATGCTCCGTTCCTGTGGCACTGATGCTGTCCCTGCTCCAGGGGCCAGCTGGGGACCCCACTCCTCGTGTCCCATCCCAAACAGGACCCCAGAAAGTGGCAGGCACTCCGAGCCACCCTGAGGCTGCTCAGTGCCCCAGCCAGGAGCACCCACACTTCAAGGCCTCTCTCAGGTGCCACCTTGTGCCACCTCCTTGGGGCTTTCTCTTCCCCAGCCGCTCCATCCTCATCCCAAGGAGCCAACCCAGCATCTCCTCTTTCCAGAGGAGGCTCAGCCATCCAGCATTCCCTCTTTCCCAGCATCTCCCTACGTCCTCCTCCACTTCCTCCCTCTTCCCTTTCTCCCTCTCTCTCTTTTTTATTTTTTTTTTTTTAAGACAAGAAATGAGTTGTCTTCCCGCAGATGTGACTAAAAGCACTCTGGAAATGTCAGCCACTGCTGGAAAGGGACCCAGATAACATTTAGCTTTAGGTAAGAGAGTAGATTTTCTCTGCACTAATTCATATTTATAAGCTCTCGTGTTCCCGGGGAGAGCGCGGCGCTGATGGCACTCGCTGATTGCCAGCGCGCGGAGCAGGGAATTGTTTTCATATCCGAGATTAAAGAGTGCTTTCTGCTCCCAGTGGCACCTGTGTATTTACACTGGTCATTCTCAATTCATTCTTATAAGATTAAGACTGGAAATGGGAAATGGTTATAAAGTGCTGAGCCCGGAGGGGTCGGGGGACGTGACGGGGACCGGGCAGAGCCCGGACCCTGCAACGGGAGCAGCCCTGGGGGCTCTGCTCTCCATGGGTGGGAAAAGTCTGTCCAGAGGGAAATTCCTCATCCAGATTCCATGGGATGGTCACTCTGAGTGTCTCCAGCAAGGATGGATGGGAATGGATGAGGGTGGTTGGGGATGGATGGTGATGGATGGAGGCAGAGCCCAGACACTGCATCAGGAGCAGCCATGGGGGCTCTGCTCTCTCTGGGTGGGAAAAGTCTGTCCAGAGGGGAATTCCTCATCCAGATCCTATGGGATGGTCACTCTGAGTGACCCCAGCAAGGATGGATGGGGATGGATGTGGATGGACAGGGATGGATGGAGATGGATGGGGATGGATCGGGGCAGAGCCCAGACCCTGCAACGGGAGTAGCCA